AGCCGGGGATAAATGAAGACAATCTAATTCATTCCTTTATTATCGGAGACATATAAAACCGAGCCTACAAACAAAATATAATGGACAAATGATTGATTGTCATAACAATAGCATAACAAGAAAAATACATATCTTTATCAAATTTATCAATGGAAAAGAATAGGATATTACAGACAGATAATTTCTTACCAGGATCAGAATACAAGATCTTTCAATAAACGATGTTCTCAAGTTTAAAGCAGCACTCCTCCAGATTCATCCTAATTTTCATGAAAATTTTGAAAATGTATTAAAGGTAAAATATTGTGAAATGAACAAAGAAATTACTTGACACATTACAATCGGCACTTAAAATCCACGTAAAGTACCAAAAAGAGGTCAAAATATGCATAAATAGCCCCTACTGCGTTAGTAACGCAGTAGAAATATGGTGATAAATACTACAAAATACAGTCATTTATTGCACTTAACATATAAATTATCACTTGAATCTTTAATTTGTTTACTTTTCTCAAAGTTTTAGTATGGTTTTTCCAAGTTTAACTTTCTTGAAATATTTTGGGTCCATCTGGAGGCATGCAGCTTTAATATAAAGTAACTAATTGTATCACACAACTATACTGTAAAGTATGTTGGCTGATTTTGTACGCTTTTGTGCGTCTCGTTGGCGCTAGCGACAACACGACAAAGCGCCAAACGGCGCGTTGTCGCGTTGTCGTCCTGTCTCTAGCGTGGCACGCAAAAGGGCGCGTTGTAGTGCGGTGTGTTGTCGCGATGTCACATTGTCGCTCGGTTCAAATTGAAGGATTGGCTTATAAGCCAAGCGATTGGGCGACATTGCGACAACGCGCCGCACGACAACGCGCTAGAGACAGGACGACAAGACGACAGTGCGCCGTTTGGCGCTTTGTCGTGTTGTCGCTACCGCCAACTAGACGCACAAAAGCGTACCAAATCAGCCACCAAAGCAAAGCAAGTTATATCGGTAACTAAGTGGAACTGGCGAAGGGAAATATCTTACTAAAGCAAGATGTTTCGCGGGGATTTTAGGGTCAAGCACGTGCAATATAAGTAAACACATTCATACAACATTTCAACTTACAGTGACCTCTCTTATGAAATAATATAAGTACAAATGTACAGTGAAAACACAACAGTTCGGATTCAACATTACACGTAGGATACAACTTACCAGTGATGAATAGAAAACGATACACAGGTTACACATGTTTATAGTCTGATACCAGTAAATATTTAACACTTCTCTTAGTAATCTGTACTGATCAGGGGAAGTAACCGTTCCTGATACACTACACTTCACTTCTTGCAGCGGTTACTTCTCCTGATCAGTAATGAAGAACGTGTTTGTTACGTTGCACATACTTGTAAAATTCAAAAAGGTTTACCCATTCACTCAGTAATAGACAGAAAAGAATGAAAAACAACAGGTTAACACTATTGTGGCTTATTTGTGCCATTCGTGTTTTTGCCCCGCGCCCCCGCCATTCTAACTTGTTAATTCTCGACTTTTCGCTTGGCGGGGTCGCAGGACGAAAGCACGCTAATTAGCCGGGGCGCGGGGCGACATTTTATTTATTAAACTTTGCCCCGCGCCCCCGCTAATTAGCCTAATAAGCGTGTTTTCGCTTCGTGACCCTCCATTTTAACTTGTTAATTCTCAAGTTTACGCTTTGCGGGGTCGTGGGGCAAAAACATGAATGACACAAATCAGCCACATATAAAACAGCCATGGCGTTTCGTTATTGTGATTAATATACGTTGGCATGTCATTGCTATTTGATGAAGTTGAAAATTATTTAACTTTCAAAAAAAATTATCAAATATATAAATATAAATGCATGACCTTGACCTTGAACCCAGTGATCTTAAATTCCATTCAATCTTAAAGGGCCAGTTGAGGTTTGTTTCTTTTAAATATGAAAAATTGGTAGAAATAAATTCAAAGGCTGTATAAGAAAAAGGGTAACAAAAAAACTATTGTTAGAATATGTGACCTTGAACGTGTGACTACTCCCAACACTGGACCATCCAGTATGAAAAATGTCATCAATAGATAATGACTGTTAGAACAATAAATAAAAGCTTTTTTGACAAAAAGAACAAATCTATTTTAGCACTGGTGACCTTGACCAAACTGACCCTAACTCAATCCAAAGGAAGAAGACCACGCAAGTTATAATCCTACCAAATATGAAAAACACCAGTCAATAAATAAAAGCTGTAATTTAAGCGAATGTTTAGAAATCTATTATTGGCACCAATGACCTTGACTCATTGACCCCTAACTCAATCTAAAGGAAGAATACCATATAAGTTATCATCCTACCAAACATGAAAAACATCAGTCAAAAAAGGGCTGTATATTTAACAAATGTTTGAAACCAATAATTGGCACTAACCACAAACTCAATCCAAAGGAAGAAGACCATGCAAATTATCTTCCTGCCAAATATTAAAGACATCTGAAAATAAAGGCTGTATGGGAATAAGTGTAAAAAATCTAGTTTAAGCACTCGTAACCTTGACCTCACTCATCTCAGACTCCTTCCAGAGGTAGAAATCTTGTCAATTAATGTTCCAACCAACCATACATAAAAGACATTTGTCAAAAGAAAAAAATGTTGCACATGGCATTGGTGACCTTTATATTTACCCAAATGACCCCTGACTACAGCTAATGGATATGAACAACCTAGGAATGTCAGTATTAAACATTAAAAGACATCAACTTAAATTTATGGTTGTATGAACAAAAATGTTTAATTTTATTTTTTACACCAGTTACCTTCACCTTGACCCCAGAGACCCTTACTCCACAAAAAGTTAGAGAATCATGAAAAGTATCTACCTGCCAAATATGGAAGATATCTTTAAATAAATGAGAAACTTGAGAAAAGTTCAACTTGCCGTTTTTGGTTGACCTCGTAAGGACAATCAGACGGACGGTTCAATTACTCTATGCTCGGGTGCATGTAAAATGTATACTCTAATACGATATACAACAAATGTATGAAACGTTGATAAAAAACACGGCTTTTGTAAATCCTTATGTTAATTTTTATTCTAAGAGGGGTAGATGGTATGGTGGCTGATTTCGTACATTGCGCGTTGCCTTGTCGCGCTGTCGTCTTGTCGTCCTGTCTCTATAGAAGCACGCGAAAAAAGGCGTGTTGTCGTGCGGCGCGATGTCGCCATGTGGCTTGGCTTATAAGGCAATCCTTGGATTTGAACCGAGCGACAATGTGACATCGCAACAACACGCCGCACGACAACACGCCGTTTGGCGTACATCGTTAGCGACATGACGACAAGACGAAAGTCCGACAACGCGCCATTTGGCGCTTTGTCCTGTTGTCGCTAGCGCCACCATAAAATGGGTTTTAACTAGTGTGATGTCTTTAAAACATTAATAACAGAAGAATACTTTTTTACTAGCAGGCGCAGAAAAAGCATAGATATACACTATTCTGTTTGCAATGTTATATTATAGTTCACTTCCATACAGCTGCCGTTATCAGTTTTGCCGATGGATTGATAATTCTTAATTTAGCTTCAGGTCCACTTGTATAAATTGAATAAATATTCATCATTTAAAAATCTGATATGAATACAGAGGTATTAGTGTTTCAAGTGTATGACCATATATATATATATATATATATATATATATATATATAAAAGAAGTTCGATTCCTTGTGTGGATCTCATGTATAAATATATTATACGTTACTGTCTGAAGATATGTAGAAACATTTGAAAGCGCTAACAGAAATAAACGTATAAAAAATTAAAGAACTTTGTACTGTGCATTTCCCAAAACATACTTTATCTATATAGGCTTATTTTGGCAATATTGTTTTGATCACTTATCATTGTTTAAGAATGGCCAGTCTATAGCTGATCAGTTTTAAACGGGGGTCATTTTTCACGCGTGGGAGGGTCATTATTTGTTAACAAAAAGGGTTGAAAATTGATCAAAATGCGTTGAAACTTTAATATCACACCGGTACACTTTGACAGCAAGCTGCACACAAAAAAAAATCATACTAACAAGTTATACAAGTAACAAAAAGTGTATGAACGTCTTGAATGAAACGGTATCAGTGGATAAAAATATTGTTGTTTTTCAGAAGACCGTTAATCTTTGTGAAATTTAAAAGAAATTATTTCAGCGTAAAAACATGGTCAGTACTTGTATTGAATGATATTGATGATGATGTCATAAAATATAAGGTACAGTGATCACCTGAACAAACGCTATTATCATTTCATAAGACATCTAAACTATGATGATTAATAGTTTTATGCACAGTACTGAGTACATTATATATGATATAAAGATCATTTTAAACCCAATACGTGAAATAGATTATCATAATCATTGTAAACAAACCAAACAAACACAATACCCTTCAAAACATATGAGCCGCGTTACGACAAAACCAACATAATGGGTTTGCGACCAGCATGGATCCAGACCAGCTTGCGCATCCGCGCAGTCTGATCAGGATCCATGCTGTTCGCTATCAGTTTCTCTACTTATAATAGGGTTTGTGAACGAACAGCATGGATCCTGATCAGACTGCGCGGATGCGCAGGCTGGTCTGGATCCATGCTGGTCGCAAACGCACTATGTTGGTTTTGTCGTGACACGGCTCATATCTGAGGTGGCAACTGGTCTGATGACATGGTCCATATTAGTATTACCGATGTCTATTGCTTCTTTTTTGCTGTTGCTGGTGTTTAACTTCTAAATATTTTGGCACTTGTTGTTGTATTTTTTTTAATGACAATTCTTTTTAATGCAGCAACAGTCGAAGATATATAACAGCAATAAATCAATAAATAACAATCATTGTTAATACTAATGTTGATAAAGTTTATCAAAATGACCTACAACTTAACACACTGCAGTACTAACGATGTTATTGAAACTTTAGATAAATAAGATTAAAACTTTAGATTACTTACTATATAGCCATTGTTAGATTACCTTGTTATAGATATATAGATCTATATATTGCAAGTATCATTCACAATATTTTTACAATATTGTACAAAAAACAGACAAAATGCGTTGGCTTCTTAAACCTCTGTTTTCACTTTTTGTGATATTGCACGTGGTATTTGCTTACAAACCGATTATTTTTATGCACGGGATATTGAGCGAACCCCAGGAAGCAAACACTTTATTCCAATGGATAAAAATGGTATGATTATGTATTATTTTGTTCACTAATTTATTCTTATTTCACGTTCCGAAAAAATGTTTTATCGCGATCTTATTACTAAAGATACGTTGACAAGTCGTATGCAATTATATTTAAAACAAAAACAAATATATATGTTACATTTTTGATATGTTGAGTACATTGAAAAAACACAGGACTTTATTATACATATATATTTTTGTTACGGGGTAGGGTGTCCTCTTTGTTAGTTTGACAGGAAGGTTTTTGCCGCCCTGTCATTTTCACCGGGGGAGGGCTTTTGTCCGTTATTAATATTGATGTCTACAATTTAAAACATTTTTTTATATACAAACATGTATATCTCACTCACTCACTCACTCACTCACTCACTCACTCACTCACTCACTCACTCACTCACTCACTCACTCACTCACTCAATCACTCACTCACTCACTCACTCACTCAATCACTCACTCACTCAATCACTCACTCACTTAATCACTCACTCACTCACTCACTAAATAAATCACAGACGACCATATTTCTATGAACACTGCTTATTGAATTGAATATAAACTGAACTCATTTAAGATAAATTGTAATTTGATCACTTTTATAAAAGGACAGTTCATGTATATGTTACAACAATTCTTTGTTTATCCCTTGAAAATGACCAGTCCAAAATTTAATTATACCGCCCATGCGACTATCATAGACTAGTATCTGACATAGTGTCGTATGTGACCACTCAATTTCATTTATTTTAATAAATGTTTGCTTATCAAAGGACCATCCAGGAACGGAGACGTTTGCTATAGATATGTACAACAAACTGGACAGTCTTGTCAATATGATGGAGCAAGTTGACCAGGTCGGGAAAGTTATGATGAAATTCATGCAACAACATCCCGAAGGCGTAAATATTATCTGTTTCTCACAAGGTAATAAAATTAGAATGTATATGTCTGAATCGATCAATCATGGTATATCTCTTTGCAATATTTGTCTTTTGTTTGTTTGCCTATCATAGCAAGTCTACCGTTTTTCAAGTCTACCTTCCTTAAGACTATCTCTTACAAGTCTATTGTTTGCAAGTCTAATTTCTGCAAGTGTATTTCCTGCAAGTCTATCGTCTGCAATTCAATCGTCTGCTAGTATATCGTCTGCTAGTATATCGTCTTAAAGTATATCGTCTTAAAGTCTATCGTCTTCAAGTATATCGTCTTAAAGTATATCGCCTTAAAGCCTATCGTCTTAAAGTATATCGTCTTCAAGTCTATCGTCTTAAAGTATATCGTCTTGAAGTATATCGTCTTAAAGTATATCGTCTTCAAGTATATCGTCTTCAAGTATATCGTCTTAAAGTATATCGTCTTCAAGTCTATCGTCTTCAAGTATATCGTCTTCAAGACTATCGTCTTCAAGTCTACCGTCTTCAAGTATATCGTCTTCAAGGTTATCGTCTGCTAGTATATCGTCTTCAAGTATATCGTCTTCAAGTATATCGTCTTCAAGTCTATCGTCTTCAAGTATATCGTTTTCAAGTCTATCGTCTGCTAGTATATCGTCTTCAAGTATATCGTCTTCAAGTATATCGTCTTCAAGTCTATCGTCTTCAAGTATATCGTCTTCAAGAATATTGTCTTCAAGTATATCTCTTCAAGTATATCGTCTTCAAGTCTATCTCTTCAAGTATATCGTCTTCAAGTATATCGTCTTCAAGTATATCGTCTTCAAGTATATCGTCTTCAAGTCTATCGTCTTCAAGTATATCGTCTTCAAGAATATTGTCTTCAAGTATATCTCTTCAAGTATATCGTCTTCAAGTCTATCTCTTCAAGTATATTGTCTTCAAGTATATCGTCTTCAAGTATAACGTCTTCAAGTATATCGTCTTCAATGTTATCGTCTGCTAGTATATCGTCTTCAAGTCTATCGTCTTCAAGTATATCGTCTTTAAAACTATCGTCTTCAAGTATATCGTCTTCAAGTATATCGTCTTCAAGTCTATCGTTTTCAAGTATATCGTCTTCAAGCATAACGTCTTCAAGTATATCGTCTTCAAGGCTATCGTCTGCTAGTATATCGTCTTCAAGTCTATCGTCTTCAAGTATATCGTCTTCAAGTCTATCTCTTCAAGTATATCGTCTTCAAGTATATCGTTTTCAAGTCTATCGTATTCAAGTATATCGTTTTCAAGTATATCGTTTTCAAGTCTATCGTCTTCAAGTCTATCGTTTTCAAGTATATCGTCTTCAAGTCTATCGTCTTCAAGTATATCGTCTTCAAGTCTATCGTATTCAAGTATATCGTCTTCAAGTATATCAACTTCAAGTCTATCGTCTTCAAGTATATCGACTTCAAGTCTATCGTCCGCAAGTCTATCGTTTGACTGTGCAAAATTTTAATTTTGACTTTCTCAAGTTAATCTTTCATACAAGGGCACAATTCATAAACTTCATCTTGAGTTATCGAAATATGAAATTGATCTTTAATGTTCAATTTTCGAATTAAGGAATTTTTTACCTTTACTCTTTAAAAAATATTTTCCTTACTTTATTCAAACTTTTAAAATAACCTGCTTTGGTACTGCACCATGTGACGTTATAATCATACTTATTTCATTGCAAACGTTAAAGGAATTATCAGGGAAGTATAACTAGCTTTATATCCTGCTCCTTCATTTAAAGTGGTATCTGGTAGATCTAAATAGATATATCTGTCTTTTATTGACAGGTGGTCTTGTTTGTCGAGGCGTGTTAGAGCAAAATCAACATAATGTGGACACATTTATTTCATTAAGCTCTCCGCAAGCCGGACAATTTGGAGGTAATTGTACGCGTATTTGAGTGCACTTTATCAATCAACTTTAAATCACTTGTCACTTTAGTAGTTTTCACACAATGGTAGATAATATTTGTAATATTTTGAAATATACGATGTAGGAATGACCTGGTCGTTTGTCACGTGATTTGATATCCTTGGTTCTAAATCCTTATATCCAGAAATATCATTAACGTGTCAGCACTTTACATGTCGCACCTTGATAAGCCCAAAGGGGGACCATTTTCGATTCCAATATCTCAATAAACCTGTACAATCTTAAAGTGTTGCTCAAGTGTGGTGGCCTGTTGCGGCCATTTCAAACCCGCGAGAAATTTTAACATTTCATCATAAAATGTTGTAGGCAAGTCAAAAATCCAGAGATTTTCTGCTGAAATCGTACAAAATGTTGAGGTGAACGTATAAACCTCGAAATTTTATAACAGATGATGGAAACTGCAAGGAACATTTTGACTTCAGCGGCCCGTAGCGTCCACGGTTTGACTGTACACTTTATCCCTAGTATGTCTATATAAAAAAGTCGAGGAACAGAAAGAAATCCGCGACATATTTTCAAGTGTTGTAAAAACTCTACTAAGAGTCGAGTGGGAAAATTTAAGGCCGCGGATTTTGTTCTTAAACAACGAATTTCCATAAAAGGTCGCGGGGAAAAATCCACGACTTTTTAGCCGCGACTTTTGTGTAAATGCATTTCCACGCATAAAAAGTCGAGGCATAATGCTCAAACTCGACTTTTTACAAGGTAAGCATCAAAACAAAATATACCGGATTATAATGGCTGCAATCGGCTTCCTAAACCAAAGTAGGCATATGTTTGCGTAGCTTAGTCTACTATATAGACAAAAACAAAAAATGGGTTTCTAAAATCCGCGACATTTTATAAATTTCGACATAAAATATCGCGGATTTAAAAGTTGCCCGCAACATTTTATAAACCGATGGTAAAATTTCTAGCAGCATTAGAATGGACGCTTTCGGCCACCATACTCAAGGTATATCATACACAAAATAAAATGTATTAACATTACTTTTTTTACATTAATAATAATATAAACTTTAAAACCGTTAATTATATGGTTGGATTATAAAAAACGCTTTCCTACATTGCCAGTTAAAGTTTTGATTTCTATTTTCAGATACCGATTACATAAAATATATTTTCCCGCACGTTCTTCGCGACAATGTGTACAAGTAAGTATGGATAAAAAACAAACAATTTTATAATTTCTGAAACAGCAGATAAAAAATTCATGCTTTCTAAACATGTTTGTTGGAATAAACAACATAAACAAAATTTAATGATTCTCTTTTAATGTCTAAGAAATGTATGCAAGCATCAAATTAATCATTTCATGCGTCTACAAGATTTGACTGTACAGAGTTTCAGGATTTATTTTCATAAGTTCTATTTGATCAATCAAGTCAGAAATATATTTGCATGTACATAGTCATGTGTTTGAACCACATGCTGTGTTTTGTTTAATGTGGATAAAATTCGAAAAGACAAAAAGATGACAATGTCGTATTTTGTCGACGTATTTCGTGTGTTGTTCTACGCCTTTCCGCCTTGTTGCAGGGCTTTGCATATAGTAGTAATGAAATGACCGTTTCTTACAGGATAGCGTACTCTAAAGACGGTCAAAATATATCAGTGGGAAATTATTGGAATGGTATTATACTCGTTTACACATCATATAGATTTGTAAATACAAGATGTTTATATAATTAGTAAATGTATATCTAAATGGTAGCCATTACAAAGTTAAATAAAGATGTAAAATATTAGGTAATTTAGATACCGGAAATGATAATATATGAAAAGGTAAAAAGGAAATCTTAAACCTTCATTTACAATACCAATTATTACTCTCACTTATCAACAGCTTGCGGTAGTTGTTTTGTATCGTACAAGTAACTTACAATTTAATTACGTCTCAAGGTGCTTGGCGACATTGTTCGCCAGCAATACATTTTCAAAATGTTAAATTAGAATTAATATTTAGAGAAAAAATAAAACATTTCTTTAAGGATTTAACGTCAATGCGTGTTGCTATGGTTTCAGATCCACATCACCAGGACTTATATAAGGAAAATTCCGAATTTCTGGCAGTGTTAAACAACGACACTTTTAACATAAACAGCAAAGGTCGGTTCAAATAAATATACTGATTATTCATAATATTCATCATAGTTTGCATAGTTTTCAAAACAGAATGTCTTTGGCCATTTAAGTAACCGAGATCTAATATACATTGTTAACGAACTTATAGTTATTCTTTGTGCATAAGTATAAGACATTTATAAGAACTGTGGCCATCCAAATAATTTCAATGCTTTGATTGCAATTAAAGCCGAATTCAAAGAAACTGTATTAATCATATTGTGAGAAATTCTTCAGCGCTCATGAGCTCTAAACATGAACGTAGAAATATTATATTTTATATATTATATATGATCTATGTATATCTTTCAAATTAACCAATATCTTCCAAATTACTTTACCAATTGTGAACAATGACCATATGGTGTCCGCCTACTCTAATTTTGCTCCGTATACTTTATAGTAAATCATTCTCACCTGAATACTGCATACATGAAACAAAATACCGGTTTGCAATAACTTAAAACGTGAACGTTATCCGATTCATTTGAGCACAAATTTATAAATATTAACCCTTGATCTTTTCTTATAACTTTTAATTTGTATAATCACTATAAAGTTATTTAGCAATAATTCATTGTCTACCTTCTGGTACGTAATGTCTATCGAGACATTCCTCCCAGAAATAAAGACCTGCAAAATGCACATTAAAAACTTTAAAAGTCACTAGAAATGACACCACATGTACTGATTTACAAACATTTAACCCGAGAAATTGGGCAATTCCAAAGAACAACTTCTTAGACCACGACCACTCGCGACTCGATACATAACGGGACGACACCATATATAATATAAACAACAAAAATATGAAAGTATAATATATTATTGGTAAATAATTATTTATTGACAATTCAGAGTACAAAGAAAACTTTCTGCGCCTGAAGAGATTGGTAATGATTGGTGGTAAGGATGATGGTGTTATTACACCGTGGCAATCAAGGTAAGGATGATGGTGTTATTATACCGTGGCAATCAAGGTAAAGATGATGGTGTAATAACACCGTGGCAATCAAGGTAAGGGTGATGGTATTATAACATCGTGGCAATCAAGGTAAGGATGATGGTGTTATTACACCGTGGCAATCAAGGTAAGGATGATGATGGTATTATTACACCGTGGCAATCAAGGTAAGGGTGATGGTGTTATTTACACCGTGGCAATCAAGGTAAGGGTGATGGTGTTATAACATCGTGGCAATCAAGGTAAGGGTGATGGTGTTATTACACCGTGGCAATCAAGGTAAAGATGATAGTGTAATTACACCGTGGCAATCAAGGTAAGGATGATGATATTATTACATCGAGGCAATCAAGGTAAGGATGATGGTGTTATTACACCGTGGCAATCAAGGTAAGGATGATGGTGATATTACATCGTGGCAATCAAGGTAAGGGTGATGGTGTTATTACACCGTGGCAATCAAGGTAAGGGCGATGGTGTTATAACACCGTTTCAATCAAGGTAAGGATGATGGTGTTATTAACCGTGGCAATCAAGGTAAGAGTGATGGTGTTATTACACCTTGGCAATCAAGGTAAGGGTGATGGTGTTATAACACCGTGGCAATCAAAGTAAGGGTGATGGTGTTATTACACCGTGGCAATCAAGGTAAGAGTTATGGTGTTAATACACCGTGGCAATCAAGGTAAGGATGATGGTGTTATTACACCTTGGCAATCAAGGTTAGGATGATGGTGTTATTACACCTTGGCAATCAAGGTAAGGATGATGGTGTTATTACACCGTGGCAATCAAGGTTAAGATGATGGTGTTATTACACCGTGGCAATCAAGGTAAGGATGATGGTGTTATTACACCGTGGCAATCAAGGTAAGGATGATGGTGTTATTACACCGTGGCAATCAAGGTAAGAATGATGGTGTTATAACACCGTGGCAATCAAGGTAAGGATGATGGTGTTATTACACCGTGGCAATCAAGGTAAATCTAGAATGATGGTGTTATTACACCGTGGCAATCAAGGTAAATCTAGGATGATGGTGTTATTACATCGTGGAAATCAAGGTAAATCTAGGATTATGGTGTTATTGCACCGTGGCAATCAAGGTAAATCTAGGATGATGGTGTTATTACACCGTGGCAATCAAGGTTAATCTAGGATGATTGTGTTATTACACCGTGGCAATCAAGGTAAATCTAAGATGGTGGTGTTATTACACCGTGGCAATCAAGGTAAATCTAGGATGGTGGTGTTATTACATCGTGGCAATCAAGGTAAGGATGATGGTGTTATTACACCGTGGTAATCAAGGTAAGGATGATGGTGTTATGACACCGTGGTAATCAATGTAAATCTAGGATGATGGTGTTATTAAATCGTGGTAATCAAGGTAAGGATGATGGTGTTATTACACCGTGGCAATCAAGGTTAAGATGATGGTGTTATTACACCGTGGCAATCAAGGTAAGGATGATGGTGTTATTACACCGTGGCAATCAAGGTAAGGATGATGGTGTTATTACACCGTGGCAATCAAGGTAAGGATGATGGTGTTTTTACACCGTGGCAATCAAGGTAAGAATGATGGTGTTATAACACCGTGGCAATCAAGGTAAGGAACATGTTGTAATTACACCGTGGCAATCAAGGTAAAGATGATGGTGTTATTACACCGTGGCAATCAAGGTAAATCTAGGATGATGGTGTTATTACATCGTGGCAATCAAGGTAAATCTAGGATTAATGGTGTTATTGCACCGTGGCAATCAAGGTAAATCTAGGATGATGTTGTTATTACACCGTGGCAATCAAAAGGTTAATCTAGGATGATTGTGTTATTACACCGTGGCAATCAAGGTAAATCTAAGATGGTGGTGTTATTACACCGTGGCAATCAAGTAAATCTAGGATGGTGGTGTAATTACATCGTGGCAATCAAGGTAAGGATGATGGTGTTATTACACCGTGGTAATCAAGGTAAGGGTGATGGTGTTATGACACCGTGGTAATCAATGTAAATCTAGGATGATGGTGTTATTAAATCGTGGTAATCAAGGTAAGGATGATGGTGTTATTATTACACCGTGGCAATCAAGGTTAAGATGATGGTGTTATTACACCGGGGTTGGCAATTCAAGGGGTAAGGATGATGGTGTTATTACGACGAGAAAACTAAACATTGTAAAAAAAAAAAGCCCAACAGGTATAGTTTAACACCCGTTCCAAAAATTCACACATCCTTAAGAAAAAAAATGCACATTTTTGAAAAAAAAAATATAATATACTTGCATTTTTTAAATTGGAATTTTTAAACACATATTTATAATGTGAATATTTTATGATTTATGCAAAACCTTTTACACAATTTTTACAAGTTTATCGTCGGGAATTTTCTTAAAAATTAAAAAAAAAGGGGTTTTAAAAACTCCCTTTTCAACCCCAGTTAGTTATATTTTAAGACTTTTTATTTTCTTTTGAGTTTTGCTTTATTTGTACCCCTGGCAATATTTATCAATGATTTTTATATCTTTAAATTTAAAAAAATCTTTTTTGGGCTTTAAATATAACATTTTTGGGGAAAGAAAAAGAAAAAAACATCCCCCGAAAAATTTTATTATATTTTTTTTTCTTTTTTTTTTGTATAAAATGTTTTCCAAATATTTTACGGGGAGTTTATTTTAACTAAAATTTTCCCTTAAAAATTTTTAAAATTTATTCATTTTCATTAATTAAAAAATGAGTTCGGCCCCCTTTGGGGTGTCTACTGAAAAATCATGAAATAAAATTTATAATTTTTAGTCTATAAAGGGAAAAAAGTTTGGGCTAAAAATCTGGTTTAAAAAGGTGGACTGTTTATAAAGGGGAATCGCCGGTTTTTCAGGGGCCCTACCCACTTTGGGAATTTTTACATAAAAAGTGTTTTTAAAAATCAAAAATTTTTTCCCTTCCTCCATAATTTTAAAAACGGACCTCTGATTCCTGGTGATAAATTTAACAGAACAGAAGATGGGGATTTATTAAAATCACAAAAAAAATTTTATCATAAAAATTAAAATGTATATTATTGTCATATAATTTAAAAAAATTTTAAATATATTGTTAATAAAACAAGTAAAAAAAAAAACCCCCTTTCAATTAAAAAGGGTGAAACAAGATTATTTTTTTAAATTTTGGTTTTTCACATTCCCCTGCCGTTTTTGCACTCCTTTAAAAATGAGATTGCAAAGGAAACCGTGTATATATTTTGAAGTGAGGGCATTAGCGTTTTTCAAAAATAGCGTTAAGACGTAAAAAAAGTTTGCTTACTTTTTATAGGCGCATCAAAAAAAAATTTTTCTTTTTCCCCTTCAAACGCCTTTATTTTTGTATAAGATAAATTGAATTTGGTGTAAACTTCATAAAATGAATTAAATTAATCTTTTCCCCTTTTTACGCTCCCAAAAAGGGGTCGGGATAAAAAAATCATAATGGGTTTAACTCGTTTCCCAAAAAATGGGGGGAAAAAATTTAAAACCCACCCCATTTAAAAATTCCTCTAAAGAGATATGATTAAATTTTTTTAAAAACTTATTTAGGAATCGTGTCTAGTTTTCAGTTACTTAATGGTTTTTTTTTAATGGCAAAAAAAAATGGAAAAAATTTAAAAAATGTATTAAAATACTTTTTAGACTTAAACGTTTAGTGTAGTACTGAAAAATTTTCAAAAACATTTTTTTTTAATTGCAAAGTTTCAATTCTGATTCCGGGGTGGATTGTAAGGAAAAATGTGCGCGTTTAAAGGGACCAAAGCCAAATTTAAAGTTACGGGAAAGTAGAGGATATTAAATAAGCGTTTTTTTAATATTGATTTTTTGGGCGTTTATGATATTTTTTATTAAAATTTTAAAACAAAAAAGTTTTTAATGATTAAGTAAAAAATTTTACTATATAATATTCTTTTTTCAAACCAAAAATAAAGAGCATTTTAAGTAAAAAAACCATTTTCATTAAAAAAATTTTTCGCATACAGTGCCGGTTTTGCTCTTTTTAAAAGGCCCTGAAAATATTTTTACGTTTTTACGTTTATTTTGGGAAAGCAAACCCCTACGTTCATTTTTTACTTTAAAAACAATTTTTATTTTGGGGGTTTTTGTGATTAAAATAAATTGTGGGTATTAAATTTTTTTAATTTCAGGATTTATTTTTTATTTAGTGTTATTAAAAAAAAAATAAAAAAAAATCTGGGGGTTTTTTTTAAACCCTTTGGGGGTTTTTCTTCAAAATAGGGGCAGGCCCATAAATTTACAAAAATCCTGGTCCCGATCTTTAAAAAGGCCCCAGACTCTTTTTTAAAATTATAACATTTTTCCCCTTCAAAGTAAAAAAGAAAATCTTAGAAGTTTTAATAACCCCTTAAAAAACAATTGTTTAAATTTCAATTCCGATTTCTTCTCAAAAAAAAATATCGTACAAGGAAAACTTAAAATTTTGGGTTAAATTTCCCCGTCACAGAAACAGGGGGTTAACAGCCCCCTAAAAGAAACCAACCCCACTCTTTTGAAATTTTTTTTATCCATTTAAAAGGGCAGAGTTTCTGAAACCCATTTTGGGGGCATTTTTTTGTATACGTTTTAAAAAAGGGATTCCCGCCGTAAGAAGACAAGAAACTCGAAATTAGTGGGAAATTTAATTTATTTGGATAGAGTTAAAAGATTCATCATTTTAAAATTTTCTTTTTGGGGGCCCTTTTTTCGCCCCCCAAAATTTTTCCCCGCATATGTTTTCTCCAAAATTGAAAAAATCAATTGGGCCTTGCCCTTTTAACTAGCATTTAAAAATATAAAATTTACCTATCCAACTTTGATATCTTTTAAAAACAGCTCATTTAAAAAACTACTTGAATTAAAAAAAAAAATTTCAACATGGGCACAAATAAAAAAACCAAAGCATTTCACAAAATCTTTCCCCCTTCCCCCTCTTTCCCTTTTTTTCCCTTTTCTTCCCCTTATTTCCCTTTTTTTTTCTTTTTTTCCCCTTTCCCCCCCCCTTCCCTTTTCTCCCTCCCTCCCTTTTTCCCCTCCTTTTTTTGTTTGCCCTTTAAATAATCTCCTTGGCCGACTAGCCAAAATTTTAAATTCCCCCTCTTCCCTTCAAAACTTTCTTCCCTTTTTCTTAAAACCCCCAATTTCAAATTCTTTTTCCCTTTTTGCCTTTTTCTTTACCTCCCCCTTTCCCCTCATTTATTTTTCCCCACTCGGACCTTTTTTTCCTAAAAATTAAAAACCCCTTTATTCCTTCCCTTTTTCTTTCCTTTTTTACCTTTTAAAAATTTCACAAACCCTTGCCCCTCCCCCCTCCCCTTTTTTTTGGGGGGCCCTTTTTTTCGGTGTTTTCGGGGGGGGGCCCTTTTTTTGGGCCCCTTTGGGTCTTCTTTAATAAAACCCTTTTCTCCTTTACCGGTTCTTCCCCCTTCCTTTCCTTCTTTTCCCCCTTCCCCCCGGTTTTTTTTTTTTTTTTTTTTTTTTTTTTTTTTTTTTTTTTGCCGCCCGGTGGTTTTTTGTGGGTGGGTTTTTTCTCTTTTCCGGTTTTTGTTTTTTTTTTCCTTTGGGGGGGGCCGGGGTTCCCTTCCTAATTTGGGGCTTTCCCAAAATTTTTCTTCTACCTTCCCTTCCCCTTGGTACCTCTTTTTCCCTTTTTTCACATCTCCTTTTTAAACCCCTTCACAAAAAACTTCCCTATTTTCCGGGGCTTTTAACCGCCCCCTTTGGCTTTTTTTTCCTTTTCCCCCCTCTTTTCCCTTTTTCCCTTTAGTTCTTTTCCCCTTTTTTTTCATTCCCTTTCTCCTTTTGTCCAAAAAAACCCGTAAAAAAACTCTTTTTGGGGGTTTTTCCCAAAATTTCCCCTCACCTTTTGGGGTTTTTCTTTCTTTTTCCCCCGGGTTTTTAACCCTTTTCAACCCCCCAAATTTTCCCCAAAAAAACCTTTGTTTCCTTTTTCTTTTGGGCCCCCCCGGGCGGGGGGAAGGTTTTTGGGAGTGGGTCCCCTTTTTCCTCTTTTCTTCTCCTTAAAAAAAATCTTTCCCGTTCTCTCCTTTTCACAAAACCCTTTTTTTCTCCCGCCACTCCTCTTTTTCCGTTCCCCCTTTCCCTCCCTTTTTAAACCCCCCCCTTTTATTCATTGTTTCCGGAAAAAATTTTTCCCAACCCTTTTCCCTAAATTTTTTTTCCCCCCGTTATTCCCCCCTTTCCTTCCTTTTCTTTTCCCCAAAAAAAAATTTCAATTTGGGGCCCTGGGGCCCGGGGTTTTTTTTCCCAACCCCTTCGGAAAATTTCCTTTTCCTTGTTCCCTTCTTCCCCCTTTTGTGCCCCCTGTTTGGGGTGGTAAAAAAACCCCAAAAATTTTTGAAAAACAACTAAGATTAAATTGGGCCCGTATTTTCTTAACCAAAAAATGGCAAAAGTTTTTTAAAATTTTTCTTTTAAAATTTATTTTTTAAACCCAATCCCGGGAAAATTTTGATTTTTTAATTGCCCCTTTAAAAAATATCCGGGGGGGGGCCAAAAATTAAAAAAGGGAATTTCCCCCAAAAAAAACAATGATACCTTAAGCAGGTTTAAAAAATTTTCTTGGAAAAAAATTATTAAAAATTTTATTTTAAAAAAAACCCCCAAATTTCCCAAAACCCAAAAAAATTTTCTATAAAGCAAAACCCCCAAACCCTCCTTGGATTCCCCTAATGGGAATTTTGAAAATTTAAAATACGGGAAAAAGAAAAAGGGCAAACAACCCCAAAAAATCAAATTAAAGGGGAAAAACCCCGGAAAACAAAATTACCCCCAAAATTTTTAAAAAAAACAAAAAACCCAATTCCCTAATTAAAATGGAAAAAAACCCGATTATACAAAACAATTTAGAAAAATAAAAAGGGAAAAAATAAAAAAACCCCCCGGGGGGTTAATGCAAGGGAAAAATTTTTCAAACCCTTTTTTTGAAAAACCCAAGGTTTAAAATAAAAATTTTTTAAAATTTTGAAAAGATAAAAAGGCAACCCCTATAAAATTTTACCAATGGGGAAAAGGGAAATTTTTAATTAACAAATTTTCCAATTCCAATTTTCCCAAAATTGAAAAGTAAAAAAATAATTTTTTACCAAAATTTAAAAAGGAAATAAAATATTAATTTAAAACTTTTAAAGCCCCAATAAAATTTAAATTTTATTTTTGGGTTTTCTTTTCTTTTTTCAAAACCCCTTTCCCAAATTAAACATTTTAAAAAAACCCGATTTTTTTTTTAAAATTTTTTTTAAAAAATACTTAAAAAAATTTTTTAGAAAAAATTTTTTAAAATCTCTTTTTATTTTTCAGTTTAACAAATTTTAAATCCCCCCCCAAATTAAAGGCTTTAATTTGTGAGTTTTACAAAAAGTGCCCTAATTGTTTTTTAATTGGGAAAAACCTTTTATTAACTTCTTTTGCACGAAAAGCAATTTTAGGGAAAAAATTATCCCCTAAAAAACCCTATATTCAATTTCTTTGTTGTAATAAAAACAAAAAATTTTATTTTAAAATCCTGGGTTTTTTTTTCCCCCAAAAGAAAAAACAACAATAAAAATTTTTTCTTATATAAAAAACATTTTTGGCAAAGCCCTTAAAATGGAAAAAATTAATTTTTCCCAAAATTTTTAAAACCTTGCGTGCTGGCAAAAAAAGGGTATTTCCCGGCTTTAGGCCGGAATAAATGGGGGCCCCCTTTTAAAATTTTTAGGTGAAAATTAAAGTTTATAGGAAAACAAAAAGGTGTTTTTTTTCCCAAAAAGGTTCCTCTTTTTTTAACCCGGGGTTTTTATTTCAAAAAAAAAAGGGAAAATTCCCCAAAGGGGGCCCCCTTTAGGGCCCCCTTTTTTTTAATCCTATTTAAAAAGGAGCAAGTTTATAGTGAAAATGTTATGTATATTTCACTCAAAAATGCATATAATTGTTACCATTTTTACATACTGTTTGAGATAGTGATTACGGAAAGAGTTTCTAAAAAAGCTTTCAAGCTTACTACTCAATCCGTACTATTTATTATTTGTCAATTATCATGTAAATGTAATACTTATAAATAAAATATTGTTTAAACTAAAAATAAATATTTAATGTGTCGCGGCATCCACGAGAGAAATATGATAATGTTCATACCACAACTAGAAAGACCTCTCGTACTGGCAATATTTAAAGGAAAGTAGTCCGACTAGACACCAGTGAAAATGCGGAAAATATGCTTCATTGCAGTGAAAAATAAATTTTTATAGTGAAAATGCGAAAAATGAAAATACGCATTTTATTTCATCAATATTTCTCAGTATTTCATTTATAAGTATATAAGAAAATACACCCGATTCACTATTTCAAAGAAGAAAAAGAATGAAAGCTAACTATAATTGATCCCACTGTTACGCCTTTATTTTTATCAGTCCGTCATGTAAACTTTACTACTGTAAGTAACATTGTCTTTTGTTAGCGCTAGTAGCACTAACAGAAACATACTGTAGTATGAAAAGGCATCTTTTGTTAGTGCTAGTAGCAGCCTAATATAAGTCTAATAAAAATGTGCTAGTAGCAGCTAACAAAACAGGATCGGGTGGAAAATATTATATTCGCATAATATAATTTTATTCAACTCGTTCAATAAATTCAGTATTAAATTAATAAACTTACACTCATTCAATAGCCCCTATGTATATAATGAGCTTAACGTCAAAACGACGTAACGTTTCATAATTAGACTCTATGATAGTTATAACTACATTCACTGTCGAAAGCGTGTGAGAAGTGATCATTATATAATTCTGATTTATTTATAGAACGCGTTATCCTATCTTCATGTATATTCTACACCCTGTTTTGGCAATCAACGTGCTAAACAATGCCCTTTTCTTTCTTTTAAAACATTTGCTATCTTTGGTAACGGCTCTTATTTATCTTTGGGTTGAAAAAAGATATACGCTTAGTCATGGGAAATCCCCTTAAACTTCCGTGTGTTTCTGTAGCTGTCAATTTTGTTTTACTTTAAACCTTAAATTTAATTGGCATAAACTTTATAGACTGAGATGAATTCGGTGTAACCTTAAACTTTTAAAATAAATTAAGGTATTCACTAGAATACAATTTAACTATGGAGAAAAATCATTTTAGACTAGAGATTTGAATTTCGCTTTATTAAACGTTTGTTTATTGACCTACTTTCGTTTTAAAAGCGAAAGTAGAAAAAGAAAATTCAACTAGCAGTGCTTCTAAAGGTGAGTTAAAGCAAAGTTGTATGAAGCATATTAACTTATACACATGTATGTTAGCATTTTGAACTTGTCACTGACTTTCTACTATCAACTTTCTATTTTTACGATGAGATATAGTATGATAACAGTAAGTAACAAGTGTTCTGAAATTTTATGTCTCGTCTTCTCTAGAGATTCTTGGCGACACTTATTTTTTCTGAAATCTTAAATTCATCTTTTGGTCAACTATTATGTTATTTTATATATATATATCATAGCTCGATTATAAAACAAATAATAGTAACTTATGTTTGTCATTTTAGTCATCTTCTTAATATAGCTAGTCGACTCTTTTTGTGTCATGGGAAGAAATTTATCTGTTCATGGCTCGAGTAGGACTCGAACCCAAGATCCTTTGGTACTAAAACTCCCCAACAGAAAAGATAGTATAGTGCAAGAACCTATATATATATATATATATATATATATATATATATATATATATATATATATATATATATATATATATATATATATATATATATATATATATATATATATATATTACGTCATACAGTATCTTGTTACATATACCACAGGATCTTGACATTTCTATCAATAATTGAAAAATACAATGTATAATTGTAGACTCGATAATCACCCGATACACAATAAAAGTCATACTTTTTACAACCGCTGATAAATGCTATTTAAATCAAAGCATTACTTAATAATAAATTGTAAATGTATATTTTTCAGTTAATGATAGAATTTCAAGCTCCTGTGCATATACATATTAATAAACGCACAGACGTTTGAATTGTATAAACAACACCCTTTCCGCCGAGAATATTAAAAACTGAAACCAATATTTTATACAAGCACTTGTTTTATTTGTTTGCTTATATTAATATGGCACGGTCCAATCGCATTTCTACTCGACCCTTTCCGTCAAACTTCGGATACGGACCTCGAACAGAATAGCATGAATTCACGGAACGGATACGGCATTTCGGTTTTACCTACGCTACTAAACTAAACATGTCAAAAAGCAAATAGTAATTTAATGCTAGTAGTTGTTGACTAAGTTTATTCCAAATGTTTAATGTTTTCGAACTGTGTATATATATGTTGGTCGTTTATATTAACTTTTTTCTAAAATTGTATTCATTTCGTATTTTTAACGCCTCAGTGACAGTTTATAATACAAAGAAGCTATGGGAACTTCGTGTAGCAAACTTTGCAAGAAGACGAAAAAGAAAACGCAGTATAAGAAAGACGAACACAATGAAAAGAACGGAAGGGATCATAATAAACGAACCGAGGAAAAACATCGGCCTGAACGAGGAAAAGGAAGCAAGGAATGTGTGCAACCTACCCAAACAGAAAATACTGAGACTGTTAGAAACTTTGCCATCAATAATGGAATAAAGCTCGAACTTGATAAAGGGGATGAAGAAAACATGAAGCAAAACAACTATATCCCGCCAAATATCGGCAACAACAAGGAAAGGGTAGGTAAAATACAACAGTTTAATATTATATACATAGGTGCTTATTCAACCATTTTTTAAATTCGCAAGAAAATAAAAAAAACGCTTCAGTTTTAAGCCGAAAAAGATTTTATAAAAGCAGTCAAAATACATTAAAAATTACCAGATGATTACTTTTAAGATAAAAAGTGCTTCTCCATACTCTTACCACAGGTATTCTTGCACATCAGACTGTCGTTTCCGTTAGTTTTACCCATGCCGGAAATTTCATCTGGCATGGGGGTTCCAGATGAGTCGCGTGCTGTACAATCGCACGATAAAGATGACGTCATTTTACCGTTTTGAATAATTTTGTAATTCATACGCTGCTGTAAGAAAGTAGTTACGGTTGTAATGATATAAATTTTCATTGAAAATAAAGATAAAGAATTTGAAATATAATGAAATATGGTAGAATATGCAAGAAAAAATATCTGACATATGTTTGCGGTTCGGATCGGGATATCCGTCCCTCGGTCACCCGCCCATGGGCGGGTCACCTCGGGACGGATATTCCGATCCGAACCGCAAAATTTGACAGATATTATTAGTAAAAATGAGATAACTCTCGGTTTTTATTGATCATGCTTCATATTTAAATGTACATTCACATCATAGGCAAATGAGACCGGGGAAAAGGCGAAAGAGAAAAGAAATGAACGAAAGGGAGAAGGTAAGAGGAGAAATGTGAAGAAAAAGAGCAGAAGGAAGAAGAAGAAGAAACATAAATACTGGTCAGACAGTAGTGACAGCAGTTCGTCAAGTTCGTCCAGCTCATCAAGCTCCTCGGATGATGGTTATTAATTAATTAATTTATTTTTATGACTATTATTATTACATTAGATTATTATACGTCACATGTTTTCTATCTGTTTATTAAACTTCGCCCCGCGCCTCCGCCAGTTTAACTTTCGACTTTTCGCTTGGAGGGGTCGCGGGGCGAAAACACGAATGACACAAATCAGCCACCATACTTATGTGACTTCAGATTGTAGCAATCCGTAATCTCACTTGGTTACAATATACGTATTGGCCCTCTGACACTCTGGCTTTGATTATTCTGCTCTGTATTGATTATCTCCCTTAGTGATTATTCTGCTCTGTATTGCTTACCTCCCTTAGACACTTAAAAAAAAAATTTTTTTCGGAATAATAAAATGAAATATCACATCTAATTGAGCGTAATTAAACAGAATACTCATCCTTTAACAGGCTAATGAAAACATAACATTGTTTTGAATGAATCTCGCTTTATCACCGCTGGATGTGATATTTATATAATGTCTTGAGATTCGGTGTACAAAGGATCTCTTTTAATGCAGAAAGGGCATCAGTAATTTAAGTTAGAGAATCTAAAGACGCGAGATCTTACTCATGGACCCCAGTTTTATAAGCAAATGGTCTTTCAACAAAATCCCTCTCCATCTTTGAAAATTCATGGTTATATAAGATTATGTTCAATCATGTTTTGAAACAATAAACCTTGTTTGAAAAGATTTTTTGTTGGACTCCTAGCCTAGCAATAAATTGTCTCTTTTAATGGACCGTTATACAAACAGGTACTCTTCTAATATAACTGATCACAACACAACTAAACAGATTTCCTTAAAGGGATTTCTTTATTTCATTTGTATATAATAAATTATATATGTGACGTAAAAGCCAAACAAACAAACAAACATATAATATATAATGCAATTTTTAAATTTATATAAGTCAGGGTCATCATAGAATTATGTATGAATATCAAAGTAAATGTATTTTATTCTATCTGTACAGATACAGGAAGAACTTCTAAGAGCAGACAAAAGAAGATTGACAAAGATGGAAATGTAACCTATATTAAAAACAAAACAACCATTGGAAGTAGCAAAATATCGTTTAAAGCCGCCAAGAACATAAATATTTACAACAATGGGGTTATAACTCAACCTAAGACAGCAGCCACTAGTATGTCATATTTTTTGTTTTACCTTTTATGTTGTAAACAGGCCTTACCGATGTCGTGACGTTGTGCAACTTATATTATTGACAATAACTGCCCGAATGTCCAAACCAAATTATTTAAAACAATGCGTTCAAAGCTGAAACGATAATGACTATTACGCTTCAAATCATTCATCAATACTTCTCACCACCGAAACATTATAAGCTTGAGGTTTGTATAAGATGACCGTAAACCTTTCACTGCGTGAGAAGGGATGGATGATGTTAGAACGCTGGTTTATATGCGTAAAATCGCCTTATAAAGTCGTCGTTTTCTTTTATTTCCTCTATTTTACCTGTCAAGTTAGTTCTTAGAGGGATGTCCGGAAGGTTCATATACTTCTTCTTCTTTTTATTGTATAACAATACATACGTTGTACAAATTTTGTCAGCAAAAATATACATATCTAACGAACACATTTATCAAAAATTACTGAATTGTGACTTACGTTTGTATTTTTACAGCATTTACATACAACATATATACATCGTCATGGACAACGTCAACGGCATCAATTTAATGTCATGTTTTTCCACTATTCAATTTCTTCCGATTTAAACAGTCATGGAACCTGTCTGGCGTATACTTTATACATGTTATGTTCCCTTGCTATTACTTTATTAATTTCATATACTACATTAAAAAAAACAACAACAAAAAAGGTGTTACTGGTTCCCATACAGTGTGTGATATGTCTGTCTTTTTCAAGGATTGTTGTAACGCAATTATTATCTACGACATTTCGGCCATGCTACTTTTGGTAATCTGATACGTTTCTTATACAAAATACTGTCAGCACCGCTTCTTAATCGTGTTTGACAATTAAACACAAGTTGTCCTTAACAATTTATGGTCGATTTTGTTTTTCAAGTAAAGATAATAATCATTATAAGCGTTGCTTTGAAGTAAAATAACATTACGTTGCTCCGTCCATGAATTTGACGTCATTTTTTTCGACACAAAACTAACGCAACTTCATTGCCCATAATCGTCGTAAACAAGTTATTTCTTTGCGTATGACGTCGTAATTTTCACTAAATATCAAGCAGTAGTCACAACATTAAAACAAGAGTTTGCGTTAAAATTACAACTTTTAGCAGTAGCTATTGTCATGAATTCAAAGTGCTCCGTGATTCGTTGATCATGTTGCCATGGTGATTGGCGATTTGCGAATACAACTTTTATTATGTTTTTTAATTTAGAAATTTGTAGCAGAATGAATACTTAAGCAAAATATTTAATCATATATATATATGACTGCTTATAATAATTTTATTGCCTTGTCTACGAACTTTCCGGACAGCCCTCGTATAACAGTAATTTGAACTGGGTGGCCTATTGTACACGACGACCGGCAGTAATCACAAACAGACAGTCATGACATTTGTAAACGAGTTAGGATAATCTATTGCAATGATGGTGCCGGACTTTGATAACTTGACTGGTCTCATTTCGGAATCTCAGTTAGTCAAACTTTGATGTGAGGGAGGTTAACATATATAGCTAAAGAAGGAATTTCGACGGAACTTTTAGACTTTCGCCGAATTATTAGAAAAGCGAGCCTGAGTTACTGAGAGTCAACTGTATAACTGTATATGCATGCATATATGCAAAACTTTAATTATTTTTTAATTCAGTTGCAATTTATACATTTTCGGTGTGTTTATTCTTTTTTATCATTCCTGAATGGAAATATTTCAGAAAAGCCAGCCAGCCTATTCACTACAGAATACACGAGCGCAACAGCTTATAAAAAAGAGGAAGAATTCAGGAATATATTAGGACAGACCGGAGGCGCTGGACAATTCATAGATCTACGGGGACACGAGAATGTCGTACCAGTTATTGAGACAAGGTCACTTTGCGAGAGTTCTAAATGGGTAGGACAGATACAATTTCCAAAGGGCCACTGTACATGCTTTAGAGTAGGCAGCAAATATATAATGACCACATTACATGCTGTTAGAGAAATCCTCAATACTTACAATGGTCAGTCAATTTTTTTATTAACTTTTTGTTTTGTTTATTCTTGCCCATGAGAGATTGTATAAATTCAAGTAAAAGGCATAGTTATTGTACGGTCGTATCAGGCTCTCAAAGGAGCATTTCTTCAGAAACTTCCAAAAAACAATAAGTTTCTTATATTGTTTAAAATATATTGTATGTTTAATTAAATTTTGCCTTGAAAGTTAAAATTCTTATAAGCGTTATTCTTCTGTAATTGTTCATTGTTTCATAACTTATAACAAATATATCTGCCAATGTATAACAAATATATCTGCCAATGTTAATATTCGTTAACTGTTATTCTTTTCTTAACATTTTCAGATTTCATCTCCGTGAAAAGAAAACCTTCAAGTGGTAAGAGATCAATAGTTATATCATTATTATATGATTAGAATAGTCAATGTGTGCATCATTTTATCATGCCTGAGCACGCAGTGCTCAGAGGTGAGCTTTTGTGATGGCGGGATATTTTTGGTCTTTCTTCGTTACCTGAATAGTAACATCCCTTAAACCACTTGATGGATTTTAAACAAGCCTCATTTAGTCCTGGTCCCTTACAATAGTTATTCAAATACTTTCAGTCTGGTGCATAAATAGGCCTAAGGAGCTTCAAAATTGAAATCTTTAAGATATATGGCATGTATCACCTAGTGGTTCTCTATAATAGTTTAAGTCAAAAGTTGCCTCACCCTGGGGGTCATTACATTTACAAAGATCTTTATAGGTAAATGTATTTAAGTCTTCTTTTATTAAACTGAAATCCCCAGAGCTTAGACTGGCATGTAGCAGTGGACCTCTACAAAATATATAAAGATCATGCCTCTGAGGCAAAAAAATTGATCCAGATTTGAATAGTAATAGTAGCTCCTGCCTAGAGCTTAATTGTAAGGCATGTAAAGATTCACCTTGTGATTCTTTACCAAAGATATATAAAACATATTCCTGGGGTCATATTTGACTCCTCCCCGGGGACCACTTTGGCATGTAGCATTACCTTGAGGTTCTATGCAAAAGTTCTTTAACTAATGCCCCTCTGGTCAAAATCGGTTCTTGTCCTAGGGATCTTATATAGACTTGTATATATAGACCTGTGTATGAAATACAGTTTAGTCTTCCTTTTGTAAAACTACAATGCCAAGAGCTTAATTTGTAAGGAAGCATTTTATAGAAGACATCTTAAACTTATTCGGTAAAAAATGACAAACTCGATGTGAACTCATAACTGACTGTGACTGTTCCGTTTTCTAGCAATGTACCTGGGGTGAGCAATCCAGGGCAATCATGGCCCTCTTTTTAATTTTATTTTAAACCTCCTTGTTTGGTGTTGATATTAGCTTTGAAATTTCTTTTTTACAAATTACACGTGTACATGAATACAAGGTAAATACAGGCATGCATGTATGCATATAATATATAAACATATACACGCACACACACGCATGCATACATACAGACATACGGAAATACTCTGTCAATGTCATTTTATACATACAGACTCAATTTCGATCATGTAATGGAGGCTGATTGAAGTCTGGTTTTAAAGGAACATAAATGCCGTTTTACAGCAGGGTAAATGAAGCACGTGTTTCACTTAATCATACCAATTAAGTTACATAACATTGACATACCAAATATATGTACGATTTACAAGTATTACAAGTATTGTTCTGAACTTGACATTAACATTGACCTGTATTTTCTTGAACCCTTTCATTTTGTGATGTTAGCAGTTCATTACATTTTGTTATGTTTAGTGTTGCCGATTTTCAATTACAAATCATTTCGTTTACAGGTCTTGACTGCGATCTGTCTGTTTTGAGTAACTCTGATGTGAAGATAGATTTTAATTTCGAAGTTGAAAATCAAACGAGTCATGACATCCATAAATTTACCTTTAAAAGGATAAAAACAGAGGAAGAAATTCTGTTTCTAGATGAAGCAACGGATGTGATAGTATTGGAACTTGACATAAAACCGGGACAAGTCGTCCCTCCTAATTTTACCAATTTCGGAATCCCGAAATTAGACAGATCATTTACTCTTATTACGCACTCAAAGGGCGACCCGAAGGCGTTTGATAAAGTTAATAAAATGGTTGATATAAATGATCCAAAAACCCTTAAAGATATAGAATATCTCCGTCAACACAGCAGTGAGTTTGTCACGGGAAACGATCAAGATCCTTTAATACATGGATGTGAAACGCCTCCGTTCAATACTCTCGATAATAAAGATAGATTACTGTTTCATTGTGCATCAGGGAAGGGAGCTTCAGGTAGTCCAGGTGTTCAGGTAACCTCTGACGGAAAGGTTGTAGTTGTAACGATGTTACTGCATGGTTATCCAGACTGGTATTATGATGAAAAATGCAAAACACTGAAGAACGATTGGCAAAAAGTATACACAGTCGAACAAGGTGTAAATTTTGCGTCTGTGTACACCACAATGAGGGACAGAAATAAACAACTGTGTGATGACATATTTGTAGGGGAGGCAAGCGCTTTTAACAAGTCTTTAAAAGTTGTTCAGCCGACAGATGCAAACTAGGCATTAATAAAAAAAAATATCAGTCTAGTTTCATTTGCTTATCGTGTAAATCTCTTATAGTGTTTATCCAGTTATTAATTTATTTCACGCATTTTTATCCGTTTCTGAACTTGAAAAAAGTGTTTTTACATGATACATTATCATTCACAATGTCATAACTTAATAATATAAATCATTATTCTGTACTGATGATGTTGAAAACGTGAAATTATTTTATTTTTGATCAACACAGCTTTATGTATTTTACTGAAATAAAAGTTGACATATGTTCCCATACTAAAATATTCATTGTAATCGTATGGACTTTTAGCATCAGTAAAATCATTTCAATAGAGTGGTGTGATATTTTTAATAATTTGTTCAATGTTATTATAGATGACTTATCAGAAATATGTAACTTTTTTTGGTTTGTTAATTTCGATTATCGCTAACAAAAGGCATTTACCGTTATGTATATGAAATGTTATGTATATCAAATGGCAGAGCGTTGGACTGTGAATAGGGCAACCTGGGTTCGACTCCCAGATTGCGCAGGTTTTTCAGTTTTTTAAGTGTAGGCATCCAGTGCTGGTAAACTGCTCGACAGTTTGTGCAGGAATGGTGCATGGTGCGGTGGCTGAAATTAGCTCTGGTCAGAATTTTCAATACGGTTTGATTTTGAGGGTAATCTACAAACATTCACCCGCCCTTGTTTCTATACAAACTTGTACATAGCACAAGGTGTACACTGTTATGTTGTTTTTATTTAGTTCATTAATAACAATGTATTCTTATGCTCATTTATATATGAGCCGCGTCACGACAAAACCAACATTATGCGTTTGCGACCTGCATGGATCCAGACCAGCCTGCGCATCTGCGCAGTCTGATCAGGATCCATGCTGTTGGCTTACAAACCCTATTATAAGTAGAGAAAGTGATAGCGAACAGCTTGGATCCTGATCAGACTGCGCTGTGCACAGGCTGGTCTGAATCCATGCTTGTCGCAAACCCATTATGTTGGTTTTGTCATGACACGGCTCATATCTTATAAAAGAAGAAAATAATACGTTCCAGTATTTCATTCAGTTATTCTTCAAGTGATTTGAAAATTGATTGCATGTTGTTTTTCATTCTTTCAAATAAGTAATTTACTTTAAGGTTGAAGAAATGAAGTAGTTTTGTTTGTATCTGAAGGCAACCCGTTTTACTAACAGTCTTTTTTGAACTTTACTAACATGTATATATACTTTAGAATTGTACAAAAGTTCATATATGTAAAATGTATGTATAAGTAACGATAAACTGTAATTTTCATGTTAGACGAATAAATACTGTGCCCTGTTTTTAATTAAACCTATAAATTGTTTAAAGATTATAAGATATTAGTGGTGATTGTATATAAGTAAATGTATTAAATAGAATTATTTATAATATGATGTTGCGTTTTTTGTTCAAATAATATTTCGGAAGAGACAGGTTTGCATCTCGTAGAAAGTTGTAAGACTGAAATCACTCTTTAGATCAAAACATACAATTCTGCGTTTCAAAGAAAATGCCCCGTTTAATGGCGGATGTATTTTAACAACTTCAGTTTCTGAGCAGCAATGTAAATGAACGTTAACATAACGCTGTGTAAGCATGTGTCATTGCACATTTCTTTATTTGTCAGGAGAATAAATTTAATTGAAGTCTTAATTAGGTCTTCATTACTTCAGTGAAAATGTCCTAAGTAAGTGTTATTATTGGTTTTACATCCTAGGACTAAACTTTCTATGAAACGTGGTCCAGAATATAGAAGAACAATCTAAACAGAAAATAATAATTCATAATATCAAGTTATAATTATTTTGTAAAGAATTCCGAAACACATGTTACTCTGAGTTCATGATTGAGGGCTATGGCCAACTGATTAAAAAATGACCCTGAACTACCTTAGATTTTGTTACTATATAAAGTAACATAGGTATTTAATAATAATAATGATAAATAATGATCATATATTGATGAAGATTGTGATGGTCGTTGTGATGATGATGAATGCGCTTTTTACGGGGGTGGGGGCATGTAGTACCATTATCTAACTTTTTTTTCGTACAGATTTTTTAATTATTAATATATACTGTTCGTTCAATTGGTTTATTCATTTATTATATTGGTTTCAGTATAAGTATGTCTTCTTAAATGTCTTTGTAGGTTTCTATCAATTGTTTATATTGAATTAGATTACCATTTTGGCACTTTCCTGTATCTGTTTGGTGTCTGCTGGACTCTTTGTCGGTGGTCCTATGTTGCTGGTTTTTTGTTGGGTGATGTTTGGACCGTGAAATACCGTCCTACCTTGTTGATCTTTGTTTATATAGTTTAATATAAATGTTGTGCATGCTGAAACTTTGCAATTATATCAATTTATCCATCATTAAAAATTGACTCTCAATTACTTTATTTGAAAACAAAAGGGAAAGGTTGTTATTTGTATTATGTTCAGTCTATATTGGTCTATATTGGTTCAAATATTTTAGTTAATTTGGTTAGCTAAGCGATTAGCTATTTAGTTAACGAACAGACAGTCGGTGGTTCTGCTAAAGTACATGCTGAAACCTGAAAATATAATTAGCATTACGACTAGTACAAAAGTTTACCACATTCAGGATGCATTCTATAATGCTGTAGCTGTGGCCCTCGATGAAAATGATGTGAATACCATAGGTCTTCAACACCAATTCATGTTTGTAGACCTCTTAGATCATCTTATCCTCGTTCTCTGTGTTTTTATTTTGCCCCCACTTTAGTGGCGGGCATTTAATTTTACCCTTGTCCGTCCGTCCGTTCTCTTTTGTGTCGCACGTAGCTCAAAAAGTATTTGACCTAGAGTCATGAAACTTAGTAGGAATGTTTATCAGCATGTGTAGCTGTGCACCTGGGTATTTTCGTGTGGATTTATTCAGTATTTTTAGAGTTATTGCCCTTGACTTAGTAAATATTTGCAATTTTCAACTTTTGTCGCACGTAACTCAAAAAGTATTTGACCTTGAGTCATGAAATTTTACAGGAATGTTGATCAGCATGTGCAGTTTTGCGCCTTGGTATTTTCATGTGACTTTTTTTAGTATTTTTAGAGTTATTGGCCTTGACTTAGTAAAAATTTGCAATTTTCAACTTGTGTCGCATGTAACTCAAAAAGTATTTGACCTAGAGTCATGAAACTTTACAGGAATGTTGATCAGCATGTGTTGTTGTGTACCTGGGTTTTTTCGTGTGGAATAATTTAGTATTTTTAAAGTTATTGCCCTTGACTTAGTAAAAATTTGCAATTTTCAACTTGTGTCGCATGTAACTCAAAAAGTATTTGACCTAGAGTCATGAAACTTTACAGGAATGTTGATCAGCATGTGTTGTTGTGTACCTGGGTTTTTTCGTGTGGAATAATTTAGTATTTTTAGAGTTATTGCCCTTGACTTAGTTAAATTTTGCAGTTTTTAACTTGTGTCGCAGGTAACTCAAAAAGGATTTGACATAGAGTCATGAAACTTTACAGGAATGTTGATCAGCATGTGTAGTTGTGCACCTGGGAATTTTCGTCTATATTTATTTAGTATTTTTAGAGTAATTGCCCTTCACTTAGAAATTTTTTGCAATTTTCAACTTGTGTCGCATGTAACTCAAAAAAGATTTGACAAAGAGTCATTAAACCTTACGGGAAGGTTGCTTAGCATATGTAGTTGTGCACCTTGGCTTTTGCTTGTGGATTTATCCAGTATTTGTAGAGTTATTTCTCTTGACTTAGTAAAAAACCGTTTTATTATGTTGTGTTATTTGTTCCTTGAGTGCTTGAGTTTGAATCAACCAACTTTACAGGAATAATGATCAACATCACTAAATTACAGGAATAATGATCAACATCACTGTGAAGCTATGCACCTGGGACTTTGCATGTGTTTTTTTTTTTCAGTTTTGTTAGAGTTATTGCCCTTGACTTACAGTAGTATAAATTTGCAAGTTTCAACTTGTTCATGCATAGCTCAAAAGGTATTTGACTTGTAGGCCTGAAAGTTTACAAGAATGTTGGTCAGCATGTGTACTTATGCACCTTGGAGTTTGCTTGTGGATTTATTCAGTATTTGTAAAGTACTTGCCCTTTACTTAGTAAAATATTTTTACAACTAGTGGCACATGTAGTCCAAAAAAAAATTTGAGCTAGAGTCATAAGATTGACAGAACAGTTGCGTGTGGGGGCACCCGTGTCCTTTGGACACATTTCTAGTTTTAACACATACTTATGTCAGTGGCTTCATTTTCTAGATCGACGTCTTAAGGAATGTATACAACTTCAGTCTGTGCTAAGGGAAGGAGCGTGAGAGATGTTGTACTTTCCATTGTATCTGATATATAGACTCAAAAAAAAATACGGGTTTCTTTTATTAAATTTACTTATCAGTTATTCAGATTAAACCTACAGTGCGATTTTCGACACATAGGTTTTTGGTTTAATTGTTCAAGAATGATCTCCCCTTTCAAGATTTGTGTACGGTTTTTCAAGATTTGTGTACCTTTTTTCCAGATTTGTGAACCATTTTTCGTTTGTTTGTGTTTTTAACCAGCTTAGCAGGTGGTACAAACAAACTTTAACTCGAAAATAAGCGCAACAGGCTGACTAATCTATTGTGACCGGTATTGCACTGTAAATTGCGCTATAACGGTAAAAGTTTGTGCCTGGGGATAAGCTTGGAAAAAACACATTTGCCGGGTTTTGGATAGCAACTAATAACCTCAACTTACATATTTATTAATTATATATTATTGGATATATACCAATTAAGAGCTTGATTTACAAAACAAGTTATTTAGTTAGTTTTAAGGGATATTTAGTTCGAAAACTGAAGCAATAGGTATCCGTAAATAAAAGAAAAGCCATGTTATTATTGTCATGCCCCCGCCGAATGTGTTTGCTCATTGGAAGAATGTATATGTAGTAGAGCAGAATAATTTAATTTTAAGAGTTTTTTTATAATGAAAACTGATGGCTGTAGTGATTACAGATTTGAAACCTCTGTGAATACTGGTGACTGAAAATAACAGAAGGCAATAACTGAAAAATAATGCAGGGTAGGTTTTCATTATTGTGCGCCGCTGCACTTCTCCTAAATGAGATCCATCCACCTATGAAGTTTCAAGTTAATACCTCTAACACTTTTTGAGATAAGCTCCGGACAAAAAGTATGAAATAACAAAGGGCAATAACTCAAAGATTTTGAAGGATAAAATTATCATTCTTGCCCACAGCATTCCTCCTCCACCTATGAAGTTTCATGTTGACATCTCAAAGACCTTTTGAGTTATGCTTCACTCAGGTGAAAAATTAATCATGAAAAATAACAAAGGGCAATAACTGAAAAAATATGCAGGATTGAGTTATCATTCTTGTGCACTGTACTCCTCCTCAATATTATCTATCCACCTATGATGTGTCAAGTTGATACCTCAAATACTTTTGAGATAAGCTCCGGACAAGATGTGGGACGGAAGAACGGACGGACTGAAGGACAGACGGACGGACGGATACTATTTCTATATCCCCCACCGCCTTTTCAGCGGGGGGGGGGGGCTGTGTCAAGTAAAATATGAACATCCGGGCTATTTGTATATTTTGGTATTAATATCTTTATCACGAGTTTATCGAGGATATTGAATGAGTGTATGTTTAATACTAAATTTATTGAACGAGTTGAATAAAATCATATTATGCGAGCCTCTGGCTCTATTCTATTTAAATAAGAATAGTAAATGTTTTACATTTACGCGCCTATCCAATAGTGTAACGCTTATATATAACGCAAATGACGTCACGTCAAATAGTGTAATATAGTTTGTATTAAATGGCTTTATCACACACCCGTGCCGATTTTGCGACTCCGTAAATATGGTATTGCACGGCCGTGCATATATTTTGAAGTAACGTCATTAGCGTTATACAAACATAGTGTAAAGACGCGCTAAATGTTAGCGTTATACTACAGGCGCGTTAATGAAAAATGACTCTTATTTCACTTTAAACGGTCTTTATTTTTGGTATGTGATAAATAGAATATTAAATTCGTGTAAGTTCATTACTGAATTTATTGCACTCGTTGAATAAAATAATATAATGCTCGCCAGAGGCTCGCATAATATAATTTTATTCAACTCGTGCAATAAATTTAGTATTGAACTCACACTCATTCAATATCCTCTATTTATTACACGCCGCAGTTTATGTGATAAATGTAGTTATCTTCATCACGAGGAGCTTATGCAGTTAGAAAAAAAGGCAATATTAGTTTCAGGTTAACACCTTTTTCGTGGAAAGGCAGGAGATAATATTACTATGCAAACTTGTTATGGAATTTTGATAATAAATACAAAAACAGCATGTTGTTGCTGTCGGAAAAGGACCGTCAATAATTCGCAAATGCGACGCAAAATATCTTTCTAAAGGTATCGTGATGGATCAAATACTTTTGTGGAACAACAATAGATTTAATTGAATAAAGGTCCTTAGAATACTGCAGTTATTTTACTACCATCATAATAAATGATACTCTGTATTTCATGCTTTCAAGTGTTTTATTGTATTATATCAGATGATTATATTCTGATAAATCACTAGTGAAATTTATAAAATATAATTATCACTGTACTGTAGCCGAACTATATCTGAATGCGGATGAAAAGAAAATCATAACTAAATGGAATAACAGGCAGAAATAAATTCCGTCATGCGTCAATTTTGCTTCTTTAGAAAAAGAAAGTCGATGTCATCATACATCATGTTAAAAATGTAACAAAATTAGAGAAATGTAACAGACCTATATTTCAAAATTGATAATGTGACGTCATGATGTGATGACGTCACAGGGGAGAATGCGCGACGTTACGCGGCAAAATAAGTAAAAAAAAAGTACTTTAAATCACTTAAAAAGCATGAAATAAAAAGAAAATTTATTTGTTTTAGATATAAGATTGAAATATATTTCATTCGTGAACACCAGCTATTATATTTTCACGAGAAAATATTGCATCTGGTGTTCACTCTGGGAAATTATGTTTCAATCTTACATGCAGAACAAACAAATATCCTCTATGTATCAATAAATAGATAGATCTATGTAATATTTGATCATTAATATAGTTTGCATTTTCTTAAAACAAGTTTGGCATGTACATTATTATATTCATGTAGCTAAATATACATGTATGTATATATGTGATATGATATAAAAAACGGTTACACCAAAAATTATTACAACATTATCACGGTTATCTTATCTTGACTCAATTAAATTATCCAGATATCTCCTCCCTTTCTTTTAACTTCTTCTTAATGTGGTGTAGGCCTTAACTGATGATCTATTGATGCAAAGGATAAACATAGAACATATATCTCATCACTTTATTCGTATATCATAACAGTGGTTCAGGTAAATGCCTGCAAAATATATCTTGATAGAGATAAGGATTACGAGCAGCCATATTTTTACCAACAGAAATCATATCTGCACCTTGTTCTATACAGTACTCTTGTGGCCAATCAGACCGAATCCTTTCCTCCACCCTAATATCATAATACCAGTCGGGGTATCCACATAACAGCATTGTCGCCACAACCGCGCGACCATCTTCTTGAACAATTATACCTGGTGTTCCAGATGCCCCTTTGCTAAATTTACAATGAAACAAAATTCTTTGCTTGTTTAATAACACGCTGTGTGGTGGACATTCGTAACCTCGACGGGCTTGTTCTAAACTATGATTTTTAACCCATTGAATATCACTGAATGTGGTTGTACTGTCTCTGTCAATAACTTGATCCACTGTATTGTGTTCCATAGCACCGCCATTATGTCCAATCAGAGTGAATTCAGATACTACCCCTTGGCCACTGAATAACTCAAATGGTGGAGGCATTTGGTTACCTTCGGGATCATCTGCTAGTTCTATAACAACGGTATCTGTATTTTCGTCAAGGAATTTAACAACAGGTTTGAAAAAGAATTTTTTTAAGCAATTGTTTGGAAACGGACCATCTCTGTAATAACCAAACAAGCAAAACACGTTCAGGTGTATCAATGATTCTACAATCAGGTTTCCAGAGTCGTCAATATATTCTCTTGATCCTTAAACACAAAAATAGATAAGAAAATATAAAATTAAAATATGTCATACAATTGTTTTAGAATACTCACTTGTCAGGCTTATAAATGCGCATGCATATTCACATAGTTTCTTAGTAAGACGAATCAAGATTATGTTTACATTTGGAAAAGACGAGGTCAGCATACTTAGTAACAAATTCATCAAATATTTCTAACGTTATTGTCCAACAATATTGACCTGGCACTTCATTCACTGGATAAACACTGGCACAGTGGTATCTAACGAATATATCGATTTATTTTATGCTTTTCAGTGGATTACTGATTTATCCGTGAACATTTTATTTGATAATTTCACAGTGAAAATTATCAAAATATAATTTCACACTTTTCAATGACGAAACTACTTTTTTAAGATTTTTCCCCATGTGGTACCTCAATTTTATTTTTGCTGACAATTCTGACAATGTCCGGCTGTTTAAAGAAAAGTAAAGCTGAAATTGATTAATACCTTAAATGTCAAAAGTAATAAAAAGAAGAAAACTTACTTCTATTCATTCAAATTTCAATCACCAAATTTCGTCTCTGATTTTTTTGTTTCATTTTTACAGTCTGAAAAATACATTCCTTCCACATGCAAAACTGCTCTTGATGACATTTGGGCAAATTAAAGTATCCTACGAGCAATAACTGCCGTATGCTTTATGAAAACTTGAAAAGCAATGACAACCATACCCGTACAATAAGGAAACAACCCAGCGTTCCTGAGCCAGCTTTTGAAGTTTTCAATTTTCCTTGCTGCTTTTTGAATGATTTCACATCTGTCAACACTTATTTTTTTGTCTGATACAATATTCAAATAAGTTTTCTTTCTTTTAAAAACGTGTATGACTAACTAATCCAAATGTTATCCCTCTGAATCAAACACACTTATTTTCCTCCCGTGAAATACACAACTTTAAAAAATGGCTGCCGCTTACATTTAACATTTACATTTAACAAAGCCAGGGGTAATATGAATTCGCAGTAAGTAACGGAAATATGAATGGAAGGTTGGACCTTTTCTCCTACAAATAATGTTTTTTTTATTATTATTAAAACAAGCAATCATTCATATTTTTTTAATAAAATGAATAATATCACCGTCATTTAATGTTGATTGTCTAACTAATTTTTCAGCTAAAACTTCTTGTATTTAATGAGAAATTCCGACTAAATGGGGCTCTCAATGGGGAAATTAGATTTTATTATTAACGTAAATATTATGGAAATTTCGTTTTAACTTGTTCTTAAGCATAAAATAAAAAGAAAATGTGTTTGTTTGTTGTGTAAGCACACATGGTTCAAGCGAGAAAATTGGTTGCAACTTGACAAAACGTGCGAGTGTTGTAAATATTCATGACTCGGCAGCCATTTTATCAAGTTTGCAACCGTTTTCTCGCTTGAACCAAGTGTGCAAGCACTTCACGTCCTGTCCCTCGAAATGGATATCTACACTTATGTCGACTTGCAAGTAGATAATAATTTTTATGGACTTTACCGACTATAGGGTCAAATTCTAAATGCAGAGTGTCTGGACAATATTGTTGGACAATACAAATTAATTTTATATCAACTATACATTAAGAAGAAAAAAGAATACCTGGAATATTCTGGTGGATTTTAGACACGACGTGAAAAGCAGTCATTATATATCTTGAACCAACTCTAAATCCTGTTGCCGTGCCATTCGGAAACCGTATTTGACAAACACTGTGTGACCACTCTGCCCACTCTTTGATAATATACACGAATCGCCTGTCGTCATTTGCTCCTCTGCAATCAATAAAGTTTCCTGCAGGCATTGAGCTTCGCTTTAGTCCAATAGACGGAGAAATAGGAGTGAAGTTACATCTAAATATTTGTCTACGGTTTCCAATATCTATGAGAATGAAACAAGACATTAAAATCACTACTTTTTCTTATTGTGACCATTCGGAACACCACGCCGTTTATCAAATGTCTATATCCTAAATTATTTCCTGAAAAGTTGCGGTCAAAGCTTTGCAGTTATTCTAATCAAATACTTGGAATTTTGTTCACTCCGATAGATAAAAAATAATTCCAGTTTTAGAAATTTGCATTGGTGCAGATTTTGTTATAGAGCTGTTTATCTTATCTACTTTGATTAGCAAATCAAGCGACCTTGGGATAAGGTCAGGTTTATAATTTTAGTCCAGATTCGGCAGAGATCAACCAGGTCATGTAGCTCATCATAAATACCACCGCTTGCAATTTCTGACAAGAAAAGCCTTTTTTATAACTTTTTTTTAAGAGTATGTAAACCCTTAAAAACTCTTAAAGCAAGTATAAATCATGCTCTTGCCAGGAAGGAACTAAAAATTATTGACGTAACAAAAAGTTCAAATAATGTTGTCTCGTATCAAATTTGAAAATGAAAATTCAATGACATGATTTTATGCATTTTTTTTGGCGTCTTGGCATCAGTCTATTTTTTAGAAAGAATGAGAAACCAGATCTTCTCAGGTTTAATTCAAATTGTAAGAAAACAATGCATTATCATGCATACAACAATAAGTTATAGGCAAAACCGAAATGATATCGATCATGAGCACTTGTCCTCAGGTTTTCTGAGTACTGTAAGAAAAACGTTAACACAGTAAAAACGAAATCTAATTAACAAAAGTTGTGTTATCCTTACCATTGTTATATTCTCTTATTTGATCACTTGTTTTTGTAATTTCCTCAATATTGTCGATAACTAATATGCCGTTATTCTCAAGTCTCGATCTGCAGTTTAAAGCCCTGTTCGGTCTACTATGATGATTATTTGACATACTAGTATTTGCCCGTCTCCATGAGGTTTCTGAACCGACATATGCTCCATCAATGCCTTCATCTTATGAGAAGATACAAAAGTTTAGAATTTAGATTATTCTTTTTTAATATATCTTTAAAATACAAAACGTATAACAGTATACCATAGTGGTAAAATAGACAAGATATCTAGCTTTAGTTTACACCGCTTGATTATTTTAGACAGTAACTTAAGAATGCCGGTAGAGGATTGTTACTTTTATGAACCCAGTTTACTAAGGAGTTCTATGATTTTGTTCAGAAGGCTGACATTTTGAATACTTCAGGGAGGAACTAAATGTTCTTTAAATAGCAAGCCATTACATTAAAGTGATCCTAGAAAGTGAGTTTAATATAAAGCTTGTAAAGATTACGGAAGACGCAAAAGAATGTTAATAAGAAGTTTGGGCTAAATAGGACAAGAAATCATACATTATTCCAAAGAAGTTATGATTGATACTTTAATATTTTATTATTAAGATCTATTTTTTTGTTCACTTCGAGTTAACCTATTAGTCTGACCTCTCAGTTCTGTATGACCATGTTGAGCACTCCGTCCATTTTGACCATTGTATCCATTTGATTCAATTTGGTCAGTTTGAGCATTGTGTCCATGTCCAATATTTTCTGTGGGTAAATCATTGTTCTTGATCTTCCTACATTTACAACAAATGCTACCCATCTGGAATAGTAAATTGCAAATTTGGCCTTTTCTTGATTCGCTTTTTTTGTTGATTTGTTTTCATTTATTTATCTATCATACTAACATTCCCACTTTAGACGCATTTTTCAATGGTGGTAATCCATAACAAATGACAATATAGAACCTGATCTTTGGAACATTTCAGTTAGTAGTTTAGTCATTGTTCAATTGTATTGAATTGTTGCGGTGCCAAAATGCTACTTTTGTTTTACAAATAACGTTATTGATCTATTTATTTAACACCCTGTTTAAAAAGGTGTCCTATTTCAATTTAGAAATACCCGAGTAATTTTAATATGAATTATTAAAGTTAAGTTTTTTAAGCACTTTTTAAATCACTTTATTTAACCTAACTATATTTACGTAAGTTTTGTTTTACAAATAACGTTGCTGATCTATTTATTCAACATCCTGTTTAAAAAGGTGTCCTATTTCAAATGGGAAATACCCGAGTAATTTTACTATCAATTATTACAGTTAAGTAAGCACTATTTAAATCATTTTTTTAACGTAATCATATTTATGATGAATGAACCATACTTGGTTATGTTATATCGAATGCACACTGTCAAATATATACAAGTTAAAATACAAGTTATTGTGAGAGCATTTTAGCAATAACCAAATCCAGCGGCAAATGTAACATAGCTAAGGAAAAACAAAAACGCCTCGTGTTAAATATGAACAATAAGTATAATATATAAGCTAGAATAAGGCTAGATAAGAATCCACCTATATCATATAACATAGAATGCTATACAATAAGCAAAATAACAGTCTTTTTGAATATGGTAATAGAAGTAATAAATTCAGCTTTACATGTTACATGGCACTTTACGAATTTATGCATCTTAAAATTGATTCTTCTATATGCAGATACGTTATCTGATGTTTATCAAAGACTTACCTAATCAACTATCTGCATTGTTGCTTTTAAATGTTTATTCCGATACTCAAAAATATCAAACAATGATGTAACGGTACCTAACCCATTTAGAAAAGAAAACGGTGCACAATTGTAACTTAGTTTATATTCTTAATATAGATTTAAAAAATCTATATTTATTAACTTCCTTGTAAATCTAGTTGGCGGAGTTTATTATGATTGACATCACAAAATACTTAGATCCAACAAGATAGAAACATTTCTATTTTTTTCAAAATAGAAATAGGCTTAAGTTTTATCTTTCACTCTCGAATAAACATGACTTCATTTGTATTTTTTTATTTATATCTATATAATTATGACATAGACATGGAATTCCTGTACATTTAGTTTCTGTTTCGGTATATCTAATAGGATCAGGTAAGAATTATTGATTTATAAATGATATCAATTGCTATAAGATACATGTATTTATGTTGTGCTTGTTTCATTGACATGTTATGATAAAGTTTATTACAATTCAAATTTATGGACCCGTGATTAAACCTAAACAATAAATATACAGTAATCTGATATATGTCTTTCCCTATCTAGTCAACCTTAACCATTAGTGCAGGTGTTTATTTTTAAACGTCCTTCGGTTATTTATACGGACAGAGAAAAAAGTGTATCGGGAAATAAACAATGTTAAATAGTCAACATTTTAAATATAGACCCCTCTCAAAACATTGCTTTGCTTTTTACAATAAATGTAAAAACTGTGACAACACAAATGTCACTAAAAGTTGTATCGATATTAATACTGACCCATTATGAGAGATTTCAAATGAGTATACAATCAAAACAGAGTAATTATTTTCAATCTAGATCTTATTGGCTTAAATTCATGGGCGTCTGACCGTCGGACTGTCCGTCGGTATTTCCTTGTCCGTCCAATAAATTAAGATTCCTTTAACCCACAGTCTTCATATTTGGCATGGAGGTTAGTCACAATAAGTAGATGACCTCTTTGATTCTGAGAATGCTCTGTGAAGTGTGTATGCTCACATATGATTTGGTTCAGGCCAAATTTAACTGAAATATCTTCTTCTTTTTCATCGTCTGAGGTTTGCTTAAGTCCAGGTTGAAATCGCCTGTGATGATTACGTCTTTAATACCAGACACAAAAGCCAGTATTATAGATTCATCAATTTATGATAAGACAGATGCATTAGAATTGGGAGGGCGATGAAATACGCCAAAGATAAGAGGGCTTGTTTTTGATACGGACTTTTACCCAAACACAAAATTGATAGAACTTCTACCCAAACACACTCAATACCAATCATGGGTTTACGGTCATTGCGACGAGAAGTTGTAAGATATTCTTTTATGTATACTAATATTCCACTATGTCTATCAACACTACCGTCCTTTCTGAAAGGTGTATGATAATTATAAAAAACGGAGTTCATCTGTATGTTCGAATGAGAAAGCTTCGACCTGAAAAAGACCCGAGAAATATGACAAGAGAAAGACTTTACCATTGACAGAATAGAGAGAAGAGTTAAAGAGAAGAGTAACTAAAAAGTTTGCATTCTGTATGTTATAGAAGAGTGATAACATAGGGTTATCCAATATAATAAGACGAAATTCATTGAAGTAGATTATTTTTAAGCATATCTGTACAATATTGATTATTTTCATACTGTTTTAATTTGGTAGCTTTGTATGAACTTTTTCATCAGATCTTTTTATTTTATTTTAGTAGTAAAATAGGTAAAAGTATTTAAGATATAAAAAAGTTATCTTAAAATGTTTAGGTATAACTGATGATATAAGTTGGTACATATATTCTAATTTTGTAAGAGGTGTTCTGTATTTTTATGGCAAACATGTAAGCATTAAAATTTTGTTATTTCATAGTAACGATAATTTCAGTATTTTAATACAAATAGGTATACGTTTTTATTAAATAATTTTATCTGAATAAATAATTGTCTCACTTATGGTTTAAGTTTATACTAGTACATATTTCCTTAATTATAAGAGGTATTCTGTAATTTTGATGACACACATGTAGGCATTTAAATTTTGTTATTCCATAATAATAATAATAATAATAATAATAATAATAATAATAATAATAAATAGTAAATAGTACATAAACAGTGATACATGTAAAATGATTTAGACTTTCAGACAAGGCAGGTATAAAAAAATTTAAACTTTCAGATTGCAGCAGTTGCCATTTATAGAGTGAGATGCGTGAAGTAATGCATGTATTTTGTTGGGATGCTTTAATGCTTGGCTTGCAGCTGTTTTCGTATTAAAAAAGACAAAACAGTTTTGATATATCTATCAAAAGCTTAAACAAGATGATATTTGGTTATTTAGATTTTTTTCATTTTAAGTAAGCATCATAATGTTTAGAACATACTAAAAGGTTAAAACTTCACACATACAAATATGATGGCTGACTTGTGTTAATTGAAAAATTTCTTAAAAACAAGGATTTACATATTAATGCTGCCTATCAAATAATATTGAAATTGTTGATAACATTACAGAGGTGTTTTCAATAGAAATCTTTGACAATATGTAATTACTCAGCAGATGGGAAGAGTGACAGTTTCTAGCAACACTGATACAAGTAAGTATAATTTGAATTGACACATGTTAAGGCAAAAAGTATTAGTTTATATATTGTCGCAATTCCATTTAAATGACTTACAAACTATGAGAAATTTACCCTCCAAATTTAGGCAAAAAGTAATTATTGTTAACTTTTTTTAATTGAAGCAATTTGGTAAACAAGTAAAATATTTCATTCAAAGTGAGGTGTGAGAGCATACCTCATTCCAAATTTGGAAAGGTCGCGCAGACAAAGGTTGCGCAACACTTAAGGTCGCGCAATAGGAAAGGTCGCGCAGAATCAGCTTTCCTAGGCATGCTAGTTCCAAATATGGAAAGGTCGCACAATAAGAGATCGCGCAGACTAAAAGTACAAGGTTTAAGTTATTTTTAGCCCTTCAGCATCTCAATTGTTGTTAACAAAGCATAATTTGGTCATATCAGATTTTATGAATGGGATTCCTTACTGCTTTATCTATGTACAGGTTACTTGGTTCAAATGTTGAGCTGTATGTTGTAAAGCTGGAGAGATTATATTTCTGTTGTTTAATGAATTATCGGTCAGTTTATAGAATTGTCAATCAGTAGTAAGTGTATTGGTCTTATAAGCCATATATAGTACATATATCTTTATTAATGCAAGTATATTTTGCACTATTACATGTATTAAGTTGCATTATTGGACAGATAATAATTATGCTATTGAGTGTTAACATGTAAATTTATATAACTATTATGTATTTTTGTACTTATGTTTGTATTGTACAACAGTCTGTATACCTCTGTATACCTGAACTAGTTGCAGGCCATTTTGAACATTGTTAAGGCATTGTCAAGTAAGGAAAGAATATTGTAATATTATATATTTGTAAACATAATAAGATCAAAAATTTGAAATATATTTCTTGCATCAAAATCAAGCATGCTATCTCTGATAGTCATTCATGCAAGGCTAATATGGTGTTCTATGAAAAATGGATTTAAGCATCTTAGTTCAATGACAAGCTTGTACATATAAACTTGTAAAGAAAATTAATGGAAATAATATACTTATGATCATTTCAAATGGGAATTTCAAGAATGTTTATCAATTGACAGAGTAACTTTGATGACTAACATACTGGAGGAAAGTTTTCAAATGTGAGCAAAATAATGATACACTGTCATTTTCATGAAAAATTGATTTTAATATATAAGTCAATCATGAAAAGATTGCAATATCATATTAAGGCAAATATTGTACTAAGAAGTTACATTGTTCAAGGTTATAAAAGACAAAGATTCACATACAAAACATAAACATATCTGATAAAAGATGATGATATGACAATAATTTTGTTTATTTTATTTTTGTAGAGAAAAGTAACACTATGTAATCACTGTAAGAGCAGTATTGATGACTAGCAAAGGGTAGATTGACAATTTTTAGCAACATGGCTGCAAGTAAGTACACACTGAATAAGCACATGTTAGGCAATTTATGATTGCAATTTCAGTTAAATGACTTATCAAGTATGAGGAAATTACATTCCACCTTTAGACATCACAAAGTTTCATGTTACTTTTATGTGATTGAAAAACAATTGTTGAAAAGTAAAATTAAGTGCTACATATTAAGATGTTGAATTTTTCTAACAATATAGATGTAGGTTCAATATTTTGATAAGTATATTGAAAGTTTAATTGTACTGTTAAATGGGAAATTTTAGTTTGATGTATAGTAGGAACTGACACTAGTGCATAAAATATCATAGTAATGCTTTAAAATACACCTAAATTGTGTAATTAAAAAAGGTTAGGGCTACTTGCTATAAATTGTACTAAGAAGGATACTTTATGCATCTTATGATACTTATTTGTTTATAATTTAAGTTTAAATTTACAAATTCCATATAAGCACAACAATATGTACATAATTTTGTATGGTATAAATGTACATGAATTACATTGCAATTATCACAGCTTAGATTCACAAAAGAATGATTCTAACACTATCGGATGATTTTTTTTCTATATAAACAAAGAAGGCCCGAAGCGTGCATTGCACTCGCCGTTCTTATTATCTCCCTGTGTATTTTCACATTGAGGGCGCCATTTTGTTTAAGAAATCTGATAAATAAAAACGATTTTTTTTGTTGAATTTTGTTGTGAAAGCTATCTAGAATGAAAGAAAATGGTCTAACTAAGAAAAATGAATCCGAACACCAATATCTTTAATTCAGTCGTTAACGCTGTTAATTTGAAATTTGTTAAATACTGATTACGGAGAGAGTTTTCAAAAAAGCTTTACAAGCTTCCTACTCAATCCGTAAATTTTATTTTATGTAATTTATTATGTAAATGTGTGGATTATCAATAAAATATTGTTTAAACTAACGCTGTACAGACTTTAAAAGTGTTGTTTACGTGACGTCACAATGTAGCGCCAAACAGTAGGCCTACGTGCAAAACAATCAAATCAAGTACACTATTTTAATGTCGCAAACGAGTTAAGTTTTACATTTATTTCACTTATAATAATTTGTATTTCGCTTGAAAAGTTATAGAGTGAAATAAAATAAACAAACAAAGTTTTATCAACGTTTTCAAAGTTCGTTATTCTAAAAATGTTTCTACACACGGTAGATTTAACGACAGATTTTTTTCAATTTAAAGAACGTTTCTATGGGAAATTCTCAGGCGAAAACAAATTTAATCACCAAACATAAAGTTCAACTTTATAATAATAATAATTATATTTTTTCTTTACGTGTTAGAATGGAAATAGATATTAATTTTTCGTGCATTATTACATAATAATGCACGTTTTTCGTTCAAATGCTTTGTAATTAATCACTCAGGCCTACCGGCCTTCGTGATTATATTACTACGCATTTGAACTCAAACCGTGCATTATTCTACAACAATGCACTCAGAATTGATATCTATTTCCTAAACAAACAGGCAAGTATTATGATACTTATAAATTAAGTATTTTTTCTCCTGTTTATTGACAGCTTTCTGAGTGTTAGTAACTACATCAATGAGCTTTCTGTACTAAATTTCTATCTTATAAACTAGTTTTTTTACATTTTTGTTTACTTTTTTTTACCAAAAAAATTTTACGTGTTACATGAGCTTGTCTAAAGTCCGTATAATATTTGCAGATATGTTATCTGATTGTTATTTTAGCTAAATAACGAAACTTCTAAAAACAATCTAGAAGACTTACCTAATCAAGATACGCCTTATTGCTTGTAAACGTTTATTCCGATAAAACAATGATATAACGTTATCAAAGTCATTATGTAAAATATTTAAAAAAAAACAAAACACGAACGATAGTATAACCTTGTTTATTTTCCTAAAATAGATTTTTAAAAATCTAGAGCGTAACTAACTTCCTTGTACCAAAGGTAACACTATACAGTAGGCGGAGTTTATTATCATAGTATGACATCACAAAATAATGGGTTTTCATTTGTAATTTTTTTCTACTTTATTTATATCTATAAAAGAAATTACATTGACATGGAATTACTGTAGTTTCTTTTTCGTTCGGGTAAGAATTATTGCTTTATAAATGATATCAATTGCTATAATAGATATTTATTTTTATATTGTTTACATATACACTTTATGATGTATTTTATAACAATTAATATTTATAACAATAAATATACAGTAATTTGATACCGTTGCCCGACTTATGTCTTTCCCTATCTAGTCAACCCTAAGCCATTAGTGCAGGTGTTTATTTTTTAACTTCCTTCGATTCTGTAAACAGATAGAGACTTAAATAAAAATTGATAGTCCCCTCTGAAACAAACTAAAGGTAAAATCGCTTTACTTTTTACAACAAATGTAAAAACTGGGACAAAACAAATGTCAATATTTTTTTTTATCGATATCAATACTGACCCATTATGAGAGGCAATGCCTTATGGTATTTCAAATGAGTATACAATCAAAACCACAGGGGGTGGGGGACACGCAGTGTTTTGATGGTATATACTGCTTGATGGTGACCTTCATAACCTTATAATATGTAAGGGAATCAGAATAGAATTAGTGTTTATCAATTGTGGATTCAATAAGATACTGCAAAGAAAATTCTGTACTTACCGAGTAATGCCCCTTGACCATATTTACATATTATAAGGTTATGACTTAAATCTCATTTCAAGGTCACTATCAAGCAGTATATACCATCCAAACACAGTGATTATTTTCAGTATAGATCTTATTGGCTTAAATTCATGGCATCCAAAGAAAATGTTTTAGCCACCTTTAAGGAATACTTTGCTTACAAAAAAGGAATTAAGTGGTGAAAATAACAATTGTTTTGTCAAATGAGATGTTTTTTTTTCAATTTCAAATTAAAGTTGTTTAATTGGAACGAACGTGTCATTTAATATGATCCCGCTAAATCAGCATGGCATTAAAGATCTAAAAACATAATTCCAGCTAATAAATATGTAAGTGTTTTTAAACTCAGAATTTATTCCATTAACAGTCGGGTATACTTCCTGATCGGGAAACAAGGGAATAATACCCCCTTATACCCCCGATCGGAATTTTTTTTTTTTTTTTTTAATCTTTTTTTCGTAGTTCTGGAAAAATGGCTGGTGCATAACAGTTTTCTACCCACTTCAATATGAATATCACCCTTTAGTGCAGAAAAGGTACATCTAAATTCCTATTGAGTCTGTATATTTCCTTATATGACATCAGCGCTGATTTGTTCCATGAAGCATACTCAAGACAGTTAAAATGAACCTGTGCATTTACAAATACAGTATGACTTTATTAGTACACATATCCATTTTAATATTGTTGAACAAAGCAATTTTTTTCGTATTTTGAACAATAAGGGGTCTAATACTACTGGGAAGATGGGGAATCTGTTTAGTAGATGTGTGCACAATGAAAGTACAGCTCAACGTCAAAATACATATAAGAGGAACAGCATTGGAAAAGACGACAGTAAACGTATGAAAATATTTCTTTATAACTATTAGAAAACTCCCAGCTTTGAGGTATCGTCAATATTAAAACTAACAGATTGTCACATTTGTCCATGTTACCGAGATGCTATGATAGAGATATAAAGTTCATTTAATTATTTTAATAGACTTGTTCCATAACAGTGTATTTCAAATTAAATTTCAAAACGAGCATTCACCATATCATATATTATATCAGGGCGCCAAACTCTTAAATTACACTTTTTATTTATCCATCAATTTACATTTCATTAGCACTACATGGCTACATTTAACCGTAAAATATATATATAATACTTTGTAACTTTAAAACTGTATTCATCCGTCAGTTTCCAATATTTTGTACATTGCAGGTATTTACACTCACAATTATTCATATTATTTCAGCAAGAAAACCCAAACATGGACGAAATGACTGCAGAGAAAACGTTACTATTACTACCAGCGTAGAAATAAAGAACTTCAGTTTTTCTATCGGGAAAAACGCACAAAATGTAACGATCAACAAACTTAATGTCATTGAAGGTAAACGGTCAAAGAAGTCTAAAACAAAACGATCCACGAATGGTAAGGATTATAAAACAGTGCGATTAAAGTATGTGTATTTTCGACGTATATTTAATCTTATAAGTCACTAAAAATTACATATTATACCAACAATATATCTAGGCAGTATAATATATATTATATATCTTCACATCGTTATAAATGCAGTAACTTAATGAGTTAGATCACCTACTCAAGTCTTCGAATCATTTCTCAAATTAAAGACGAGGAAGAAGGCTGCTGTACAGTCGCTTAAAAATCTTGATTTCTTAGTAAATCATTCAGTGGTTACAAAAAAATTCTCAGACAAACTTATTTTAAGGCTTTACAACAAACATTTGTAATACCAAGATAATACTCATACACTAGCAAAGTAGTATGTTCTTGTCTTTGTTTAATAGCCCTGACATTGACTTTCAGACATTCTTAAATAGTCTCGTTTCTTGTTTATTTCGAGAAAGTAAATTATAAGTATAAGTTTCAGGTGAACGGAAAGACATATTTACAACAGGATACAAAACACCATACACGGAAGAAAATAAACAACAAGCCTCCGATTCTAGATCGACAGGAAATTTTATAGATGTAAGAAATGTAAAACTAAAAGAATTTATGTACAAACACGAAGATTTGGGAAAGTGTTCCGACAGTGTTTGTCAAATACGGTTCCCTGACGGTACTGGTACGGGATTTAGGGTAGGCAGCAAGTACATAATGACGGCCCTCCACGTTGTGAAAGGAATTATTGATGCCAGTATGTCTACTTTCTAACCTATGTAATATAATGATATCTTTTAATATTTATTAAGTAAAGGCTTACGAAATTATTAATGAGCGTCTGAAATAGGATCTTAGATTATTTGCCCCGGCTTAGAGATTTCAATATTTTTGATTTATTCCAAATTTAGTTACAATTTTCAAGTTTTCAGGGGTCTGAAAATCAAAAAACTTATATTCCTAATTTTTTCCAGAACAACATATTGAACTTATCTTTATGATGTTGCCCTTTACTTTTATGTCTATTAAATACAAATTCTCTGTTAACTTGGCTTTTGAAGAAGTGTCTATGAACGTCTGTATAAGTGTAGGGCAGTGATATTTTGTACTGCTAAAATTGCGCATGCGCCAGAAAAATAAACATCCCGCTGATTTTACATAACATTTCAAGACTAGATTTCTGGAGTTTATTTACGATATTTTTTCAGGTTATCAAAGTGTTGAATCCGACCAAAATCGACTGAACGCATTACAAGATGGCAACGTGTATTGTATATTCAAACATTTGAAAAGGCCCGGAGGAAACGAAAGGCGTTTTTCCTTTAAACCAGAAGTACTCTTTCGCAATGAGGAGACAGACACAGCTGTGTTGGAGCTAGCGGAACATTCTGAGGGAAGCCCTTTTCCACCACCATTTGAACGCTTTGGTTTTCCAAATTTTAGCGATTCTTTTTACCTAATAGGTCATGAAGGAGGGGTTATGAAGACTAATAATGTTGACAAAATCATCGATAGGTCACACCCTACAACATTAGAGGACATCACATGGGTATTATCATTGAATAATGAACATACAGATCAAAACTATGAGTTTCCTCCACATAGCACACTCTCGAACGAAAATAGAATTTTGTTTCATTGCCGTTTTAGTAAGGGCGCATCTGGTAGTCCTGGGGTGCTTATTATGGAAAATGGAAATATTGTAGTGGTTACACTTCTGTTATGTGGTTATCCAAACTGGCGCTATAATGAAGATACTGATGATCAGATGAGATCAAACTGGCCGAATGAATACTGCATTGAACAAGGAGCTGATATGATAAAAGTTGGAAATTTTATGCGTGAAGAAAATGATCAGTTATATCAAGACATATTTTGCAGACAACTTCCTTCACCTGCTCTATAATTATAGTCAAGCGCATTATACGGTATCAATCATGCAATAAACACTAGATATCCATTAATGACTACGATATGCAATAAACACAAATAAGTAATCATGATGCAGAGACCTTCTATTTACATGAACAATGAAATAATTTAAATTTGGAAGACGACGGAGATTAACAACTGTTATCTAAATTCTTATATTTACCTTTTACAAAATAATGGTAGCTTTAGTAATGTGACTTCATCAAAATCATTCATTAACTTGTCCAAGTTGAAAAAAAATGGGTTAGTAAATTGCTAGGGTAAAGATATTTACTTATATTTACGTAATTAAGTATCTTTGATTATGTACTCGTACATTTAAGTAAGTAAGTAGTGGAATTTATCACTAATATTTTAATAAGGACATAAAGAAATGAACCAACTTTTGCTTTCAATATTTAAAGTTCCTGTATGTTGTAATCAAGGATGTAAAAACATTTAAGTGAAATTTTGTAGATGTATATAATTACCAATTTCTAAACGTCCAAATACATTTGTAAATGTTAAAAAGGATTGCAGTATCTTTCAAAATAAACCTATTATGATATTGTGCTAGTCTGGAATTTGTCATTGGCATTTAACGAGGAAGCAATTGCTTTCCCTTTTTTCAGACACCTTTTACGAAAACTTTTGTTCAACTTTTGTTACACATTCGTGCATGAATACTTAACTGATCTAAGATATTTCTTTCTCCCGGAAGCCGGGTCATTTATAGAATATAATTTTATGTACAAAGCCTTTTACAGAGTTATAAAATCTCAGGCAATGAATGATGTGAATAAAATCTTTGCTAAACTATTTACATACATGTTTCAGTACCAGAAAGGTTAAAACCAACAACTGTTAAGCATTTTTACCTGCATCTGTTCTATATACAATAAATTTGATATACAACAGAAGTAATTGTACATGTATTTGCTATCAATTCCATTAAAAATTGCTGCTGATATACCGACGAGTCATAAGCTTAGAGGTACTTTATTGGCGTCCGCGCCGAAGCGCGGCGCCTTTTATGGAATGAAATCAGATTTTGTGAAAGGGCGACAGCAACTTCTCGAGCCTTTTAGGTCGGTCATAATAAAAGCCGATCATTCCGATTGGTATGAGAGTGCTTGATTATTAATTAAGAATCAAATGTCGCGATATGTTACAATTAATAGCGAACTGGAGAATATCGCAATGCAAACATTTTCAAATGAAATAACTTTTTCCGTCAATAAATCGCGCTCTTGGGGGTTTTTTATTTATCAGTTTGTAGTACACAGTGGGTTATCATGGTATGTTATTGTTGTACATGTTTCCTAGAATGATCAGTTGATGACCTAAATATTCCGAAAATCTATTTATAGGTATATATCTATTTATCACTCCTATCGGTAACTCCCGGTCTCTCCCGGTCTATTTTGACCAGGATTTACTAGTGACCGGCGAATAGTACCACACGTTTATTGTCTTTGGAGTAGATGTTTGATATCGTTACAATTCGAAAAAAATCAAAGGACTGCATGCTCTGTACGTAGTATTTTCTGATCTTTCCTGTATAAGTTTATTTTTATATACTATTATTCATCTTACGCAGCGACTTCGTTTAACAGTTTGTGATTGATACATATGGAATTTTGCATGCCTAGAGTTGCATCAAAAATCATTTTTCATTTTTTATTACAGCCACACTTTATCCTTGCATATCGTGGCTACATCCTTTAAAAAGACACTTCAAAAAATATGTTGCCTAGACAAGGATTTTAACCTTAGGCCTCTCACACCCTAAACGAGCGCGCTACCTTTGCACCACAGTGAAGTAATACGTATGTAGCGTGAATAAAAACAAATATATTGTAATTCTAAAATTGAGAATTTTTATTTCGTATTTGTAATCCTTATTAATTTCGAGGTATTTTGTTCACGATAAACCTGTTGTTGTGTCGCCTCTACGGAGTAGTGGCGACATATAGGGATCACTTCTCCGTCGTCTGTCTGTCCGTCTGTCTGTCCGTCCGTCCGTCACAAAACTTGTCCGGACTACTCGTCATAAAATTAAGGTGCAATTTCATCCAAACTTTACAGGAATGATCAGTACCAAGTCTAGTTGTGCATATTGTCAGCATTTCCGGTTCAATGATTTTTGTCAGAGTTATGGCCCTTTAATAATTTTTATTTTTAAAGTTTGTCCGGACTACTTCTCTTATACCACTTATGCAATTTCAATGAAACTTTACAGGTTTGATCTGTAGCTCAAGTCCTTGCGCATATTGCACAGGTTTTCCGGTTGATTGATTTTTGGCCGAGTTATGGCCCTTTGTTAAAAAGGTGTTTTTTCTGTGTGTTGCCAGATACACAAAAGCTTGTCCGGACTACTCCTCATAAACTACTGGTGCAATTTCATTCAAACTTTACAGGAATGATCAGTACCAAGTCTAGTTGCGCATATTGTCAGCATTTTTCGGTTCAATGATTTTTGTCAGAGTTATGGCCCTTTAATAATTTTTATTTTTAAAGTTTGTCCGGACTACTTCTCTTATACTACTGATGCAATTTCAATCAAACTTTACAGGATTGATCTGTAGCTCAAGTCCTTTGGCATATTGCACGGGTTTTCCGGTTGAATGATTTTGGCTGAGTTATGGCCCTTTGATAAAAAGGTGTTTTTTTTTTCTGTGTGTTGCCAGATACACAAAAGCTTGTCCAGACTACTCCTCAAAAACTACTGGTGCAATTTTATTCAAACTTCACAATAATGATCAGTACCAAGTCTAGTTGTGCACTGTCCGTCTGTCTGTCTGTCACAAAACTTGTCCCAACATGAAATTGGCCATTATGAGGCGACACATGTGATTACTGATCGCTCTTGTTAAACACTGATGAAAATAATTTAGCGAAAATCTTCTCGCCAAAACAGTCCGACATGTATATATTCCATTACTCGACAGTCAGATTTATTTGTGTACTACGCTCTGGAGTATTCGGTAATCGACATAGCTAAAAATAGCATTTTCATTGATTAAGCCTTACGGAAATAGTCGAACATTTTTCATTGGGTAAAAAAGATATTCATCCGCGAAATTTGTGATTGTAACCTCATATTTCTATTGACTAATGTAAACTTTTAATGCACTGTAATTCGTTTAATGCCTACATTAAAAATTATTCTTTCTTTTAAATTGATGGTTTTTAAGCAGTTTTGAGTGAGAACTACTTTGCGTTGTTAGGTCTGTGAGGAAATTTTGTGTTAGACCGTGGATGTTAGCTATGTATTTACTGATCTTGCGATCAGAAATTACAAAAACCCAACAACAACAACAATAGCATGTTTCATTTTATCTATATGAGATAAAAACAATAAATATGTACAATAATTGAGAAAAAGGTACATTTTTATAGTATTAATATGACATTATCAACTTTGAAAGACAGATATTACAATTATTGTATAATAAACAATTATGATCAACATGTTAATATAACCAGTGTCATATTTTTACTAAGTGTGAACAAAAACCTTAAGAGGGGGTCTTCGCTAATAGCGATAACATAATAAGGGGCAATTACACAAGTGTGGTACGCATTGATCATGCGTTACACATATGGATTATAAATAATTGTGTACATGTATATCCGTTGCTATTAATAACCACGATCATAAAGAAATAACAAGTAATATTCTAATCTCTAGCATGCCAATCAAAGTTCATAATGAACAATGTCTTTTGTCCGCTCATTCATAAGTGATATACAATTAGTTGTAGTTTATAAGAATATCTTGTCATCATATATCTACTAGTTCATCTTCACTTGATGCATTTATTGCTTGGACGCGCTTTGATGCTTTGCATCAATGCTTTTCTTGTGCTTATTTAAACGAATACACTTCTGTTACGGTAGTGGCACATCCGACCAATGCGCAGGAGGATAACTTGCGCTATGCCAAGTGCGCATCTTCTATAATTACTTCCTTTATTACAGGGGAATACAAATTCAGAACGGCCATTTTTAGGAATTCTTTGACTTGATGCCTACTAGAGTTTAAATAATAACCGTGCTGTATGATAGTTCATTAGGTCACAAAATCTAACAGAATATGTTTTAATGCATATTCCCATAATCTCTAGAGGTTTTAATTTGAATGCAAACATCGGTAGTTCTATGAGCAACCTCGGCCATATTTACACGTACTTTTTTTAAAACCTTTCGGTTTAACGTTGATTTCTTTGAAAATGCACGGGCCTGTTGAGATTTTGTGAACACCATTCATAATGATATTTTACACAAAAATCTTTACCCAAGTTTTCATTAAATCATAAATATTTTTTTTGTTTTTTAAATGTTCATTATTACAATTTATTCAAAGTTGAATGACGAGGGACGGTCAGAAAATACATTTGTATCCGGACTTTTGACTCGTTCTCGAAAACCATTCAACATTTATAAAAAAAATCTTTCTACTCTTTTTCAAAATATTCTCCACCTACGTCTACGCACTTGTGCCATCTTCGTGGGAGCTTTTGTATTCCCGCTGTGAACCATGACGTAGACCTATGTTTGAGGTACTGTGTAACAGCAGATATCAAAGCCGCCAGCAAGCAATTTTTTTTTCAGTTCTGGATAAATAAAAGTCACATTTGCTTCAGCTTTTTTTCTGAGATTTTTCAGAATTACTTCAGAATAATACCTGGCGGTGACAGTTTGACCTTTTGGCATGAAATGAGTAAGTATCATTCCTCTCGAATCCCAAAAGGCAACAAGCATGACTTTGCTAGCCGAAGGAGACAGCTTAAACTTTTTAGGAGGTGGGGAACAAGCTCGTTTCCACTGCTTTGACTGAGCTTTTGTCTCAGGTTCGGAATAATGAACTCCAGTAATAATGCAGTTCAAAAACTTATCTCCTTCACGATTAAAACGACTTACATGTTCTTTTGCATTGGTTACTCTGGTTGCCTTTTAATCTGCAGACAGCTGTCTAGGCACCCACCTGGCACTTACCTTGCTCATGCCTAGGGGTTCGTGTAAAATCTTGTGGGCCGATGCCTTACCGATGCTAAACTTGTTGGCTACCTCCTCCAAAGTTACTCGACGATTTTTGTTTTTTTCTGCACGTGGAAAGAGAGGAACATGAAAAGTCCGGATATTTTCTGACCGTCCCTCGTATAAACATGCATAACATTGATGTAATACATGCCAACAATGGTAGCAAATGTTAAAGCTTTTGTCAACAAAAGTGAAGGAGTAAAAACAAAGTCGTGTTTCTTTTAGTAAATATATTATTTTGTAACATATCACTTTAAGGTAGCTCGCTACTTTCGGACCGAAATTTGACAATATCTCAGATCTTGATGATTTTTGGTATACAGACATGTAGATATGTAAGCTTTACTTCTGCAGTCTTATTTCATAAATAAACAGCGTTACTATGACGTCAAAGCGCCCTCTATCGGTAGCGGCGAAATTGCGTCTTTTTTATCAATAAACCGGTCTGTTCTTATCAATTTTCATCCAATTTCCTTCATTTTAATTTTATAATGTTCAGTAAATGTATGTCTTTGTAATGATGTCTTTCTTTAACATTTACTTAATAGTCTGCGATTTTACGTCATTTTTCTCTACGTTCTAACGTCCATATTTGATGCAAATATCGCGCGATATCGCAATAAATATTGTGAAATAATAAAAAATCAACACGGTGAATTTTGCTATAATTTTTTTAACATGTAGTGAAGTCATAAAAGAAAATATTTATGCAATAAAAATATAGGGTCAACGCGTAAGATATTTTGCTATTACTATTTGAATATAAAATAAAGGGTGAGTAAAACGTAATGATTTTGGTGACGTCAAATATTTTTCTCAAGGAAATTTTCACGACTTTTTCGATAAATATCATACTGACAGGAATAAATTGTGTGAAAACCATAATAACAATAGTATTTAGACATGTTCCGTAAAAATGTTTTTTTAAAGTCCTGTCATTTCGATGAATATCTTATATACATGTACAACAAATCAGGGTATAACTGTCTGCAAAAGTTGGTATCAACTGAAAAACTGCAACGAATGGATATAAATACCTCGAGGACTGAAAGACAATTCAGAATATTGAAAGATATAATTAAAATGCCACCTAAGTGGAAATTATAAAAACATAAATTTTGCAAAGAATGTCAGAAAAAAATAATGAAAAGGCTGGTGCAGTCGCAATGTCATCATGTTATGTGTATCTCGGTACAACATAAACTTCCATGTTATCATATGTAACACTTTTGAATTTTATATATCAGTTAGTAGGAACAGAGACATAGATATTATCTATGTCTCTGGTAGGAAATGAATCAAATTTACGTTTCAAAAATATATGATCAACTGGAAGTAGCAACGATTTGTCCGTAAGTCATGATTCACTGGTAGTCTTAATTATATTATAAAATCTAGCAGACATTTAATTCAAAATTTGCTACACGTATAA